CCGGCTTCCCTCTGCCAGAGCTCTAGGACTATCCTGTGCTTGTCAATAAGGCAAATTCCATCTTACTGGGTTGTGTATCGGTTCAGTCCCATGAAAATACTGCCATATCTAAGGTAATGTGGCTGGAGTTAGCTCTGCGATGGATGAAATGTCATGTGCTCCAACAACTGCCCGCTCCTTGTAATCCATAATATTCACTCAGTTCTGTTTTGCAAAGAAGCATCATGCAGTGTTACAGCACAACTTTGAATATTGGTTTCTGGGTGGCTGATGATCCACATTGCTGCACTACTCCCATGTCCCAAGGGATGGCACAGTTCACGGCATAGAAAAATACAGCAGTCATATAAGATCCTAGACCCATCTATTTACTGTTGTGTTGGCTCTCTGCATCTGGCCTTAGGTGAGAAATTAGGTTCCTTTTACATAAATGATCTTTCTTTAGCTTCCTTTTACAGAAAGGATATTTATTTACTTATTTAAAACCAGTATTTTACTGGCGAGAGCCAGTGTGGTGTAGTGGTTAAGAGCTGTAGACTCGTAATCTGGTGAACCGGGTTCGCGTCTCCACTCCTCCACATACAGCTGCTGGGTGACCTTGGGCCAGTCACACTTCTTTGAAGTCTCTCAGCCCCACTCACCTCACAGAGTGTTTGTTGTGGGGGAGGAAGGGAAAGGAGATTGTTAGCCGCTTTGAGACTCCTTAGGGTAGTGATAAAGCGGGATATCAAATCCAAACTCTTCTTCTTTTTCTTATTTTATTTTTAAATAACATGGCACTATTATCACTTCAAGATTGGTTCAAATAGAAGCATATTTTTCTACTCACCTACTTGCCTGGGGTTGCTTCTCACTTGTCACAGGCATGGGATTATTTACAAGCCACCCTGTTAAAGTGCAGAGTTCCCCAAGGTGAAACATTAGGCTTGGTCTATACAGGCAGCAAAATGAAGTACTTGGATCTTAAAGTGGTATGAGTGGTTTGTATCACTTCAGACAGTGGAAAAGGGAAGAGAGATGTATCAGTGTTCCGTGACACAAAAACAAACCTAGCAGCACAAGCAGAAGGACGGTAGGGGAGACTGGCCTCTGCTATGATACTTTTCTAAACACAGTGAGGATTCCCAGCCTTCAAGCAATCTCTTTATCATGGGCAATGAACAGCATTATCCCCCGCTTTAAAATGAAGATCAAAAAGATAATAGCATCCCCAGCAGCCTGAAGTTGTACACTCTATGCTAATAGCTCAGGACTCTGCCACCTCATTGTGCTACAGATATGGACTAGACCTTATGTTCAGCAACACATCCCATTGCTGGTATAACTATTTAATATTGATACAACGCTGCCTGCTTTCATGGAGCTTGAAAGATTCTTGCTAATTGGACCCTCACAGCAAAGTTAAAGTTTCAGTAGTTGCATCAATTTTAAAGCTCATCCCGTCGTCTGATGAATTCAATGTATGACTGAATTGTCGGAAGTGTTCGTTATACAGTAACGTTTGTAGTCTGTGTATCAGTTTTTGTGTGTGAACCCTCCTCTTTATCCATCTGTGCAAAGAAGTTCCCATCCAAAGACCCAGATACAAATCAATGCAGAAAAGGCATGCAATGATTCTGTATGTCTCTCTTATTCTAACGAACTTACAACTTTGAATCCTACCGCAGACCTCCACATTGCCAATGTCCCAACCTGATAATGTAAAGTAAGAGATAATAAACCTATTTTATTCTTAATACCTTGCAAAATACTTGTTTTCCTTTCAGTAACTATGTAAACAACAATCTGTTAGCAGGGTTCTGTATTGTTGCAAAACAGTGGAACCACAGAACCAATTCTAGAACCATAGACTTATAGAGTTGGAAGGGACCACACAAGTAATCTAGTCTGTGATAGCTGCACATGCATTCCTTTCACATTTCTGCCCCATTATAATATGAAGTTGTGTCTTAAACAGTAAAAGGAGCCAGTGCCAGAGCTGAGAACAGAGGAAAGGTTCTGGAGAACTAAGGGGAAGAGAGGTAGCCAGGGCTCTTTTTATTCTTAGCATATAATTGATCTCCTGCCTTTCATTAGCTCAGCCCCTCACCCAGTTTCTGCTTTATGTGCAAACTGGCCAGACACACGATAGATGGCCTCATCATGCCTAGTTGGGTTCTAAAACCTACTGCCTGGGACTGGGCTTCACTGTTGAACATGCGGTTCTCATAGAACACTTCCACCCAAAACAGTCTCCTCACATAGCAAATTAACATACGGAGAAGCTTAGGCTAGAAACCTTCTCCTTGACAGCCAGTTTGCCAATTACCACTTTGCTATGAAGCAGGCCTCTGTGGAGTTTGAAAGCAGCAGGTCTGCTGCTGTTACCAGCTGCTTTGCATTATTAACTGATTAAAAAGAGAAACATTTGTGTTAAGGCTATGCTGTTAGTTCTCTAACCAATAGTCCCATGTACAAATTACTTGTTTGTCCCAAAATTATGGTGAATGTTACGTGACTTTTAACAGTAAATTGACAGTACTTTCAGGTATGTGGAGCTAATGTATACTTTTGCACCTGCTTCTCAAGTGTGTTGTGAACCTTCTACTTTGAGAAATCATGTGACCCAGGGTGGAAGTGCTGCTGTTAAGGAAAAGCCCCACTACATGCTATTGTAGCTGCACACTGCTTTGCTCCATCATCTTTGATTGCCTTTCCTTGCTTATCAGTTTGGAGTTACAACCTCATTTTTTGGTCCAAATGCTAAGCTTTACAAATAATTGTTATAATTCTTCACAGGGGCAGGGCTGTAACTAGTGGACTTACTATTGGCAGTGCTATTACGAATGTGTTTCTCCTTTCTTCGCATTATTTTCACTGCAGATCCATTTTAACAAGAAATGCCTGCTCTATGAGGCTACCAATTCTGTCCCTTTTTAATCTTACAATTATCTACAAAGCCGAAGGCCACAATTCACACAATCCTTTAAGGGCAGGTGCAGAGAATATGGGGCTCTCTTGATTCCATTGGGACTCCAGCTCCCATCAGCCTCAACCAGTCAGTGCTTTCATCAATGGAAAGACCTCTGATTACAGTGGAACTTATTCTCTTCTCCTCCCGGTGTACCTGTTCTGAGGTTTCCCCCACCCGAAACCTCCAGAGCAGATTTGGGAAGAGGGGCCCAAGCAGTGGGGAAGGAAGTCCTTGAACTTCTTGCATTTACGGAACTGCTTAACTGGATATCACCCATGTTTCCTCTTTCCTGCTTTAGAATGTGACCCATGGCTGCATTTTGAGTCACTTCACATGTCTTTTGGAAGCAAGGTAGGACATTTGTATTCAAGCTGGCTTTTGCTGGCCAGGAATACAGCACGATGAAAGTTTAATAATTTAACTGAGGAAATGATTAACCTTATTGCCTGGCCCAAACTGTTAGGCTAAATCTAAATAAATCAGTAAAAATATAGCTGGGGATCATTGGGGTTGGGGGGAGAGAGGAGTTAAATCTACCCTGCCATGCCCATAGCCTCATTCTCATTTTCTTAACTGAAGACATAAAACCTAGCACGGACTAGCTAGCATTGTAAAAGGCAGTCCTTTTCTACTGCTGTGAGCTTATTTCTCCAAACTGTAAGAGGCAGTGCAAAAGAGCACTTTTTGGTTTAAATACTCACCTTAATTTTTCTTTCTTAAAACATTTCCCATTGTTTCAGTGCTTCTCAAGTTCTGTTTGCTCCTGTCAGGCCTACCAGCCTTTTGCTAGGCAGGCTGTAGCATAATCATTTTTGCAAACATTCTAAAAACAATGGAGCCATTACATATTGCATGCATTTTATGAAGAAAAATAAATGAGGTCCTTTGCAGCATTTGTAAACGTGCTTGAACAACTAAAAGATGTTCAACAGGGCTATTGGAACTGGTGATTTATTCATCACCACGTAACAACAATGCCTGCAAAGACAATCATGCCAGTGTTCTCCATCCCCCTAAACCTCTGTTTGCATAATGATTTGTATTGTCTGGAAAATAAGCCAACTCTCTATTTGCCTTTAAAAGTATCTGACAAGCAACAGCAAATATATTGATCCTCACAATGTGCTTCTGTGATGCTCAAATCTTTGGGATCTCTTCTCTCATCCTGATCCTGTATTAGCTATGCTTTTCAAAAGGTCATTTTGATCAGTGCTATTTTTCTAGAAAAAGAGGCGCTGGAACTCACCATGAACACCTCCCTTGTTCCTAGAATGGCAATGGTGCCCACCTGATGGGTGCCAGAGCTGAGTTCCAGTGAGTTCCAGCTGAAAAAAAGCCCTGATCTTGATACTGATGATTTATCACAATTAGAATAAAGCAGTTAAAACAGTAAAACAATTACTACACATTGCTGCTTTCATTGAAATTTATAGATTGCACATCTTTGGGTTTAATGGAGCTTATTCTGAGGTTAAGTGAATATAGGATTGCCACCTAGGCTTTGGTTTAGGGTTGGCATAGGGGGAAAGCATGGTTATTGTGTCTTTAATAGCTGTGTGGCAGGCAGAAGAGTTCAACAGGTTAAATATTTTCTAGTATGGAAATAATATGAAGGGGAAAGCTTTACCTAGTCACATTCTGTGTGCCTTTTATTATTTTTATGGACACATATTTATTTTTTGGGCACTCCACCTACAAAAAGGACACAAATTTGCATGTGACACAAATCATATGCAAATTCTGTGCAGATCTATGCCCTATCTTTGAAACATCAGGGATTATGTACACTAACTGATAGGTAGCAACAGCTGCACACAAAACCACACACTTCTGTTACAATAAGCACTCAAGGGGTGTTGCTTTTTTAAAAAAGCAAGTGTCTCCTTGCAGGTACAACAGGAGAAAGTGAACATGTGTTTCAAAAACAACATAAGGATCACACAAGAACTTTCACACTTCTGAAAATTAGCTGTTGGTAAAAGTCTTTTCTAATGTTTAGCAAATGGGTCAACTACCCAGACACCTTCCCATTAAAAATAGCACTTGCAAACCCTTTTTGTTTTGAATTTTATTTGGCAAAGCAGCATTGCATAAACTGTTCAATGATTAGGACATAGCTTACACAGTATTTGTTATAGTTTTAAATTCAGGTACATCAAATTTGCAAACAATACTCTACTATAAACCTCTAAGTTATTCTACAAGTAAAAGGGAGAAAACTATGTCAGTTATGTCCATCTTGAACAGCAGTGTATTCAACAAGAGCTGTCACTTCTGATGTCTTGAAGTTTATATACACAATATCTGATTTTTAAAGGGAAGAAAGCAGCTGATTGTATATACTACATGCTAGTCTATGACACCACGCTGAAAGCTTTGAAGAACTTCATCTCATTTTAGTAGCATCTAGAAGACAGCTGAACACAGGAACCATATAGTGTGCATGTAGTGTCAGAAAGTGCAGATAAGCGGTTTGATGGACGAACACTGGAGCTGAAAGAAGTGTTCAGAACGTTTCCCAATCCAAAATAAAGAAGATAACAAATTGCAGGTCTGTCTGGCTTTCTGCAGACATATTTCACTTCTTTAAACAGGTGAAAATAAGGGCATGTTGAAAAGAAACATTTGCCCAGATTTAAACTTTCCATCAGTTCATTATCAAACTTGCATTAACTTCTACAAAATAAAAAACACCACACTTTTCCATGCTGATAACAGTGTAACAAAGTCCAAAACAAGCTGCAATGCTGTTGGTTTTGAAAAGCTTTTAAGAATTGGAGATGAGCAGTCCACTGTTAACACTATGTTTGGGTCAGATGACGTAGCTTTTACATTTCATCCCTGCAAAAAGAGGACAAAAATTACAAGTCTAGTCTTCCACTTTAACTCCTCAAAATTAAACTCATTCTCAGATACTGCAGCAAAATTGAATAAGCCTGTTCAGGTACTTAAGCCAAAAGAAGGGTCAAGAATATCAAACTAGTAGTGCCACATAAATCAAAGCAAAAATACTTCCCATGCTTCAGTCTATGTCATTTAAAATGCCATTAGCTGTAAAATCACAAGTCTACCTTTTTATAATGCTTTAAATAATGCTTTAGCTCTTTGTATACCATATACTGTAGATTCATTTGCCATTATAGTCCAGTTATTCTTGGAACCTGCACCAAAGGCTGCAAAATGTGGAACCTAAGTTCAGAATTAGACTTCATAGTGTTGATAACAGGCTCCCCATCCAGTGAACAGGGAGACCCTTGTTCTGTCCAGAGGAATGTAGACCACCCTGGGGCAAACAAGGCATTGAATTTGTGAATTCCTTGTGGAGAGTGGCAGGAGGATATAAGTAGCTGAGAAACAGCAAGCAAGGAAAGGCTTAAACTCTTCAACTACTCCTGCTGCTTTTCATTGCCTCTTAATGCTAATTTGTTTTTTTGAACAGGACCTACATCTGCACTTGAAGTCTAGTTGGCCCGCAATATGGTAGACTTACATCTGAGGAGTTCAGTTCAAGTCATGGACTTGCCGAGGGGGTTTGAACTAGTTACTTTGCTTCACCTATAGTTCCCTATCCACAAACCAGAAAGAACAGAGCCTTTGATTCCACTGTTATAACGATGAGGCATGGACCAAAGCAGTAGCCAATTACAGAGCAATACAAATTATAAAATACTGCTTGTTTTTCAGAACATCTTTCTCAACTGATTTTAACTGATCCAGGACTAAATAGTACCTATACCACTGAAAGACCTGAAGCCAAGGACAAAGATTCAGAGTGGAATAGATGTGTGTAGCTTCTTCTATAGCAATAGTGAATATACAAATACAGTATTCAAGTATCTTTCTAACAGGCAAAGTAAAAGCATACATAAATGTCAGAAACCATATACACGACTTCATACTACTGCTACTCTATCAACTCTTTGGCGTGCCCCCCCCCCGACAAGGAGCTTGAGCCACCTCCACATGCCTCCCCCTTGCTGTCATTAGCATATTCTGTTATGTTAATTTCAGAAAACAACTCGCCCACCATATGCTCAGCCCCTTCTGTGCCCCCATTTTTTCTGGTGCCATCACTGGTTGTGGGGGAAAATATAATCCAAGAAAAAGCCATGCAATGATTTGGGGTGTAAAGCAGAGCAAAGGAGCAGCAGCAGCAGCAGCAAGGACTTCTGAGGTGGAATTGTGTCTTGTGGTCATGGTCTTCTGGAGACTTGCATTTTTGTGGCTTAAGAACTTTTGCAGCAGAAGCACAACCCTGATATGATTTCCTCATGATTATATTTGTGGTGGTTCAGATTGAAACCTTTTAGAATTTTACATACATTCAAATAAATGGATGTACATTTTAGTTTGTAAGCTCATTCTGAAATACGATTACTTTGATGAGCAGTATTTAAATAGACTGATTTTTGCAATCACCTTGTGATGACAGCCATATCTATCACCACAACGGAGTGCTGTAAAAAGTAAGGCTTGGGAAAAGAAAGCAGTTATGTGAACTGGCCCCAATCCAGCTTCTCTCACAACGAAGTGTCCAATGTATAAATAATATAAATTATTATTATTATTATTATTATTATTATTATTATTATTTGCAAATAAGTAGACACATGGCTTGATCCCTACAGGTAGGGAGATGCTGGAGATTAATTGAAATGTAAGCATAAAACCTACTGACCAGCTTACTCACTCTGCATTTTCTTCACTGCACTAGCTGTTAGCTTGTATCTCGGGAGTGCTAGCTGACATTTTTGTAAACTGAATCTTCTTCCAGTTGCTCTGATGTTTCTAAATTCTTTAAGCAATATCTGTATTAATGACTGTTGCAACACCTTCATGATCTTCAGTAGGTTTCATTCAGATCTGTCAATATTTATAACCAATTTCCAAATGGAGGTTCTGTTTGAGGCACTTCAGTCAGTTTTCAAATAATGGATAGACTAATAGCTAAGCTCAAAAGTGTTTAGCTTTAATGGAGATTTTAATGAAAAGAAGACCTTCCTATTTTATGATACACTACACCATATCACCTTAATCTATCTATTACATAAAAACAGAAAATATACCTATCTGCCTTCCAAACAGCAACTGCAGGGGTGAAGGTTTCTGCTTCTACCCAGGACGTTACAGGACATAACCAAATATGCAACCTTCACTGAGTGGGAGAATGTGAATACCATGCATCTGTTGCCAGCAGTTTTTTGAGGCTAAGAGGGCTATACACAGCCTATACTAGCTGTGTAGAGCTATCTCTCCATTATCAGCAAAAAAACCAAACACTATTTTGGTGAAAATGGGAAATTGCACACTAACCTAGAGGTAACTGTTGCTTGTCATAGGCTCAGTTTTTTTAGTAGCAGTAATAAGTTATAAGGCTGTACTAAATCTACTTTGGAAGCAAAGGCTATCCATCAACAAATAATAATATAGCAAATAGCAAATATTTGCTATATTAAACAAATAGCAAATATTAATTTGCTCAGCAGAATCTAGGTCTCTGAATATGAAACAAGCTTTCTGTAGCAGCTTTTGGTCAGCAGCAATTCATTCATGAAGTTATCGGTATGCTACACAGTAGCTCAATACTGTTCCCACAAAACAGTGGGCCTTCCATTGAAGGCAGAAAAGCAAAATTAGTTAGTTTATTTTTGCACAGACATTTCTACAACTGTAAAGTGTCTAGAAATGCTACATTTTTATTAAATGTCAAAGTAAAACTTTATAGATTTGGAGAGCTAATCAGGCATGTGTTTGTCTCATCAACAAAGACAGTTCACAAGCATTTCTATCTAGCCAGCAGTGCAGGACTGCTGGCTTATTCATATGCATGCTAATGATAGGCACCCTTTTAGCACTGACTACTCTGTTATGTGTGCCCTAAACTACAAAGCCCTCCGCAAACCCTGACAGCTCCCAGAGTTAAAAATCCCTGTGACCTGGTAGCTTGTTGAAAATGAACAGTTTGTCAGCTTGAAGAAAATATGACAAACATTATCGCACATCCAATACCAAGTTGTTTGAAAATAGCAAATGTAAAGTATTTGGCTTGGGTTGCTTTTGATCAACTATAGTAAACTTGTCTTAAAGCTAAACAACTAACATGTAAAAATATCCGTAATTATATTGCTTGCTCTAAAGGTTTCTGAGCAATGTTTAACTTTTGAAAACTGGGAAATCCCTTTCCTTTATAAAAGTCAGGCAGACACTTGCAGTGTGAAACACAGTCTGATCTATTGCACCTTGCATATAATGCATACTTATCAAAATCTAACCCAAGACAGCAATAAGAACTTTGTATTTTGGGAATACTTTAGTCTCAATATGTAGGTAATATTTTTAGCTTATACTAGAGAACCTCAAGAAGACACAAGTTACAATGAAAAATGAAATAAACGCAATCGATGCAATGGTTTTTCCCCCAGCATTTAATGAGACACACAAAAACTTGCATGTGGTGATGTAACAATGCAAGACGTTGCTTTTGGTGGTACAGTCAAGCAGAAAGCAGGGAGCAAAAGCAGCCTCGGCAAGCTCTGTCTTAAGAATCAAGATTCAAGACCCTTTCACCTTGTATGTGTAAGTGTGTGGAAGAAGAAAGTTGAACAGAAAATCACTTCCACCTGGACCACTGCTTCTCCTTATCTGTTAAAGGCACATATATCACTCCCATCAGAGGCTTCATTTTGACACTGCCATCTTCTAGCTTATCGTACTGTTCCAGCATCTGGTTTCCTCCAGCGGGTCCAACAGGTAATATTAACCTTCCACCAGGCTTTAATTGATCTATAAGCTATAAATTAAAAAAAAAAAGTTAATTATTCACAGCAAGTGTACTCCTAAGCAGTGTTAGTTCTACTCAAAGAAGACCCATTGAAATTAATGGAAATTACTAATTTAGGTCCATTAATTTCAATGGGCCTGCTCTTGAGTCTTAATTACTTAGTTGGATACAGCTCTAAGATCCCTACCTTGTACAATGTAAAATAACAAAGAATACTGTATTATACTCCTTGATGGTAAGAGCTTTTAGGCCTAATGGTCTGAGACACAGCCCACAGTTCTAGCCCTTCCCCCTGAAAAATTGCTGGAAGCTAAGTTCTGGAAACAGGTAAAAGGAGAGGGGATAGTTTGGAATGCCCCAGTCTTTATTTGCCTTGACAAAATTAAAAGGGATTTGGGCCTGCACTGTGCAAAGCTTTTCATTTCCAAACCACCAGCACCCCCAATTCCAAAAAACATCAACATCACCTATTAGTATACCAAATCAAATTCCACTGTTGGAATGTGTTTCATTTAATGAAATCTAATTAAAAAGCCCATCATTTAAAGCAGGTATAAGCATCCAATTAATCATTTCAATTAATTAAGAAAAATCATAGCAAACAATATGTACCATATATATGCATAAATCACTTACTGCTTGGGGAACAACTGGTGCAGCAGCTCCTACATGAATAGCATCATATGGAGCTTCTTCAGAATATCCCAACCTTCCATCTCCCACTACAAGGGGGGAAAAGATATATACAAGGATGAGGAACAGCTGACTTCATATTGTCCTCAGCTTATTCAAGACACTGAACTCATAGATGAAATCTTAACTAAGTTTATGAGTTTATGTGGAACCAGCAAAAAAAATGTTGAAATTAAAAATAGCCATAATTAGCCTCCTAAATTTTAATCAGATTCCCAACTGAAATTTCTACTGGGAATGAACGACCTGGGTTCCAGGGAATTAGTACCAAACAGCAGTAGTTCACTAAATGCAGCCAGATGTGGACACAACAAAAGGCAGCTGTACATGAGGATTGGAAAGGGCTCCTAGTGATTTCTGCTCTTGTGCAACTGCAGTGCCATAAAGAGGAAACACTTTTACAGAGTGGACCCACAAATGAAACCCAGTTTGAAAGGCTATGACTCCCTGTGCCAACGCTAAACTTCTTAGATCGGATCCCATGACCTGGTCACTAAGCACAGTAGCTTGCAAAAGATTACAGACCTAAGCACATGTAACTGAAAATGAAGTTATTAGTGGGCTTCGAAGGTTTTTGTTTAAAAAACCCCATCAAAAAGTAAACATAATAATTAAATAAAATTATATAAGTTGGATAGTAAACCTAACTACTCTAGTTGTTTATATTTCATAGAAAACCTACTACAAAAAGTAAGACCCTGAATTGAACAAGCATATTCCTATACCTATTTTTTACTGTTAATATACTCCAGTACTTACCAATCAGTTTCACTCTTCCTGAAGATAACAATAGGGGATCGTCCTTTTTAACATTATTTATTGAGTCATCTACCAACTCTTTGATATGATCAATTCCTACAACTTGTCCTTTGGGACCAACCTGAAACAAAACAAGTTTATTTTGGTATAGAATGTACCATGTATGTATTCAGTTTCTTACTTTTACTTTCAATTGAAGTTATAAGCAAAGGCTACAGGAGATGAAGGATAAAACCTAATATGGGTTTTTCCTATTATCTGTCTATCTGTTTCTCTTACCTCAGTTTCACGACATCCATTTTGCCTTAGAATGTTTGGCATGCAAGTTTCTTCTAATAAAGTTATTGCCATAAATACTTTTGAGTTTCTCATGGTCCATACTTATGAAGTCATTTCCCGATATTTTTTTCATATTAATATATTTTAATTAACATTCCAAGAAGATATGAATATTTTAAGGCCTCAAACCAGTGCTGCATGTTAGCAGTTTTACTATGAAATACATGAATAGCAACTTATTTTGTTTGTACAGAACTTTTTTTAAACTTAACATTCTATTGGCATTTGAAATGTAATACAATATAATCTGTTCAGCACTAGTATTGACTGCTGATTCACCTAAGCAGGATTACACAGGTGACAAGGCAACTTTTTTAAAGTTCAGGGTTTCTTAAGATATACTGAGATGATGGAAAGAAGCCACTAGCTGGGAAAAGAATACTGAACTAGATGGACCTTGGCAGTTCTTATTTTCTTACAAGATTATGGGAAAGAAATATGGTGGGTTTTTTAAAAAAATAAGAGTGTGTTCCATGTTGCAAGTTGATGTTAAAAGAAGAATGCAGAGTCTGAAGTCTACTTCTATATTAATGGCATGTCATACACATCGCACTCTGCAGAAGAAAATAGAAACAGAAAATCCTGCACACCCCTGCTTGCTTTCTTACATGATCAGTAAGGAAAATCACTGAGGTAGGTATTGAAGTGGGGATGGGCCAGAGGCAAAAAGTCAGCAGAGCAATGGATGCAATTCTTACATTTGTACAGTAAGCTTTATTCCAGCCACATACAAGTCAAATGCTTCTACACATCTCCGCATCTTGTCTGCTTGTCCAGGCAGACAAGAGGCATTTTCACAATGCATATTCCAGCAAGGTAAAAGCACTTAAGGAGGGTGCAGAGCAGGGCCAGTGAGGTCTGAGAATGAGCATCACTGGGGGAGAGTCCCCAGAGCCAGACAGAGAGGTCTGGAGGGATCCCTTAGCCCTGAGGATCCCTAGCCCTGTTTTAAAGTGTCCTTTTTCAGGTTATAATTACTAAGCATTACACAGGAACTTGCCCCAGAATGGAATACTTCCATACTTCATAGGCTGTTTTTTCTTCAAAATATTCAATCCAACTATTAGGTGGCATTAAATACAAAAAACAAAAATATGAGCTGATTTGAGCTAGTATTGCTTCATGTTCTTTACTGAAGTATATGAGCTCGACTTTATTGAAACAGTAAGGCATTGCTGTAAAGGTAACCAAAAAGACCTATCCTTCTAAAAGTATAAAATAATATCAGAATCAAGTCCTTGCAATTCTCTTGTAAAGACATAAAAAATAAAGCATTTTGTAATGCACACAGAAACCTAACAAGAGTCAAATATTTATCGTAAGTGGTTAAGAATTGTCCTCTCACCATTCGTGCAAAGCATGCAGAAAGAATTCCACTTCCAGATCCTACATCAAGGGCTTTGGCTCCTTCGTGTAACTGTTCATATAGGAGTTCTAGAGCATATGCATGCTGACCGAAGGAAAAAAGGAAAAGATGTTGATATTTTACTTTTGGTTTTGCCCAATGTACAATGCTATGATTTTATGTTCTTTCATAAAGAATTCAAACTATGCAATTCCCTACAGAGAATCCAGTAACTGAACTCAATCAAGCTGTTATAGATATCAAACAATTTCACAATTTAAGAGCTGCAGTTTCAAACCACATAAAGATAAGTATGTCAACTGTCAATTTGTAAATGTAAAAAGATCCCCAAACCCTTTATCTACCCAAATTTGATTTCAGAATTGTCCATTTACACAATAACAGTTCAGAGGATCAAGCCCAGGATACACAGAAATATGTTTCTAAATGAAAAATAGCTTTTAGGACCCCCAAAGGTTATCTGACAAGAAACCATGAGCTTAATATTTGCTATTAAGTTTTGTATTTTTCTCTATAAACCCTAATAAAATCTATTGAGCTTACAGAATGAGCCTAGACACAGAAAGACAGAAAAGCATTCAAAAGAAACTTGTGCCAGGCAGACTGTGAATCTATCAATCAAGTCTACTATTGACAGCAACTATGATATGGAATGTTAACGGGTGTCACAGTTGGAAGCCAACCCCACCCACAGAGAAAAACATGAGGGAGAGAGAAAAAAACCTACCTTCTCAAACCACTAACAACTAACATTATCCTTAAAAAGGGTCAAAACAAAATAAAATAATTCCTTCCAGTACCACCTTACAGACCAACTAAGTTTGTCATTAGTATGAGCTTTCGTGTGCATGCACAATTCTTCAGATACACTGAAACTGTTTCAGTTTCAGTGTATCTATGGCAGACCAACACAGCTACCTACCTGTAACTTAAAAAGGGTGTGGGGGTAAGCATTAGGGTTCCCCCCACCATGTACTACACTGGGGTGTTTCATTAGGGTAGACAGAGGAAAATGAAAGCTTAGTTGTTAAAGGAGGCAGGCTGACAGTATATAAATATAACGCTTACCATGTGTGGAGCACTGATTGTTGCTTGAAATCCTATAAAACATTTAAAGAATGATATGAGTAACAAAACAGCTCACTTATCAAAATGTTCAACATTAGCACCTTTGCTAGCCAACAAATGAAGACTTAGATATATCATTTCTGAAGTATTATAATGACAAAGAAACAGTTTCCAAGAGCAAATCATTGCTACAACAACAACCAATTAATTGTGGAGTTATCTTGACTACCGAGATGGCATTTGCAACACTTCTGGAACAGTTCACTTTTGGTTAAACACAACAAGGCCCTAGGAAAATAAAGCTTTTAGTCATCGTTAAAGACTCTGAATACATAATTTTCATACCTATTGATTGAGGAGAATCCATATATGGGTTGCATTTTGCATAATGGCAGCGGTCTGTTGCAAGCATTACTTCAAATACTTTATCTGACTTGATTATTCCATTTTCTGGAAGAAAGGCAAATCAAAATATAAGGGAATATTATTCCACAATACCATTATACTGAAACTACAAAATAAAATGTACCACAGTCTTCAGAAAAAACACAAGTGGTCAGTCAATTGATGTAATGCTCAGTTGTAAACTTTTATAGGAGAGAATTTTTCAAGACTCAAACAGCAATACAAATGTCTGCTATGAATCTAGGAAGGATTGAGTTAATTACTGAAACAATATATATATTACAAAAGAGATTATAAAAAAAGAGATTACATTCTTGTAGCAAAATGTTTTGGCTTTTCCCTTCTTCAGCAGCTCTGAAGTGAACCAACTCACATTGGGGAACTTCAGGAAGATGATACTTTAAAATATAGCCTACAGCAGTGATATACTGCTGTTAGTTTATCTGCAAATTATGGAAGCTGAAATTCATCACTTCAACATTACTATGAAAACCCACTGTCAAAATAAATTAGAAGTTGGACCACGAGTCTTCTGGACTGCGTAGTGCTGATGTTATTGTTATAGTCAGCTATTTAAGGGTTCAGAGTGGGAAAAGTGTTTTATCCTATCCCTGCCAGTCCCTTTGTTATTCTAGAGATGGCCTGGGTGTAAGTGCTTCCAGATAAAACCTGAATTTTGGGGTGGGCCAAATATTAGTCTTGCCTGTTTGGACAAATTTCTCATCTAGGACTTTGGCCTGTGATTGACTGTTTCTGGATTGATCCCCCTTTGCTAAGGTTATGTGCCACATTTCCTAAGTTCTTCTTTAGCAGAGCAGCTAAGCACATAGAGCACTGAAATCCAGGCAGGAATGGGACTGCAGCAGAGAACACATGTAACCAAAATTCAGCTATACTTGTTCTAACACAGCAAAGAATAGACCACTGCAGCTCTTTGAGTTATATAAAGCCTGGCAAATCCAATGTGTATCAACACATCTGCGTCTCTTCAGTTCTGCACTCTGAAAAATGTGCCACAATTTTCAGGAAGAAAATATGTGAACTCTAGATGGGGCTGTACCCTGAGAGTGTATCTTCTAATCTTATTTCAGCATAGTTGTCAATGAGGAAAACACATGCAAATTGAATTAACATCCACAATGTACAATCCAGTTCCCGCCTGCCTTGATTACTGATTTAGTGGCTGGGACTATGGTACCTTTGTTGACAAGCATTATATCAGCACATGTTTAATGCTGAGACCAAGTCATGCTGGTTCCCACCCCTCAATAAGTGTGTTGTTTTATTTATTTTTTTGGTAAACCAGTTCCTAAACTCCCATTTTTTAGAAGAACAAATGAGAAAAGCTTCAGAGTACAGCTGCAACAGCATAAAAATAGACTTACAACTAAATATGATAACTGTGTTTCATTATTAGAATACAATACCTGTATGGTCCCTATTCCTTAAAATATTGCTTTAGCAATATTTGCTTCTTGGTCCAGCTTCCTTACCTCACTTTAAACTAATTAAGGGTTGTTCCTGTTTCTGTGGATTGCAGAACTAGATTCTTACAGAAGAAATAATTCTGCAACATCTAAGATAATAAAAACTGCCTTATTCCAGGCTGGACTATTTGTCCATATAGTCCAGTTCTGTCTACTCTGATTGGCAGCTCCAGAGTCTCAGGCAGATGTCTTATCTGCTACCTGACCCGCTTAACAGGTGGTGCCAGGGATTGAACTGGGAACCTTTTGTGTGAAATAATGTGCTCAGGTACTGAACTATGGTCTCTTCCCAACTATGTAGTAAAATAAGAACTACACTACTGTATTGTGGTTCAGCAATAGTACAAGTTATAGATAAGCCTGAGAAGAGAGTTCAAGAAACTATAAATTGTTTAATAATCTTCAAACCCATAATATGTTCATCTTTGATGTGAGAATGAACAAAATAGTCACAGGCAAGGGGGTTGGAACACCACTACATTTCATTTTGAAAAACAGTTTTTTTAAATAAGGAAATGACTAGAAGATAACAAGGGGGAAGGGGAGAAAAATAACAGTCTGATAACTAACATTTCACCCCAGATGTGGAGCACTATCAACTAGTAAAAAAAATTATTTCTTTTTTTAGCGAGTTCCTGAAAAACAAATTCAAAAACACATACTAGTAGCTGCAACAGAAAACAGAGCTTTCTAAGAGCCTAGATATTTTTTTCAGATCATTTTTTTCTAGACTTCAAACTAGAATGGTTTTAAGGGTGAATTTTGGAAGTAAATGTGCTCTTTGACACAGTGATTGGTTAGCTTCTCGATCAGAAGATTTAAAAACGACAATTGAGCATGATTTTACAGGGGAAGAATCAGGTTTTAAAATAATATTTAGTCATGCTCATTAATTTCAATGAGTTCACTAATACCTAGCTGAATACCACCCTATCTGTGTCACATTTCTGGATATTTACTATTTCATTTTATCACATTTCTATCATTTTTAGGGCTGTGAAAATCATTCTGAAATTGTCATCCAAAATTTGCAAAGCAGCACTAGAATTTATGTAACACTTTCCAAGGTTTTTAAGTACTGAGTCATATTCATTATTTAGTAGCAAAATTCAAACTACATCATGCTGTTGTCCTGCCTGCAAGCACCATACATATTTATGTTGCAAAAGGTTCTGAAACAAATCTGCAGCTTATTTAAGTCCCTGCTCACACCCCTACCTTATTAATAAACTATGATGTAGCTTTTAACTCTTCATCCCTGCAACATCAAGAATAAGAGAGGGGCGTAGGGAGAGAAATAACACAAGCCCACCTTCCCCACACTATACTCAGGAAACCCTATTGCTTTGCTAGACAGTATCATTGATTTTCCAGTCATGGGTTGGTGGAAGAAGCCATATGTTCTTAACAGATAAATGTTTTTAAATATCTGGAAGGCCAGGCAGAAAAGATTAACTTCAGCATACCTTCTCTTTTTAGTTAGATTTAAACTACTTAAGTTAGATCTTTCTGGTGTTGTCTTTGACTCCTGTTCTGCACTTAATTATTATTTTTGTATATTTATTGATCTAGATCCTTCTGGCCACCTACGCATATTTTTCTACAAAGGATAAATATAAAATACTGGAAATAGATAAATAAGAAACAAAATAAAATGAGTGTTATGGATATACACAGTCATAAAATATAACTATGCATGTGCTGTTGAAGTCAGAATGTTGCAAAGTTATGTTTCTATTATAGAAGTATAAATAAATAAATAAAACCTCGCCCATCTGGCTGGGTTTCCCCAGCCACTCTGGGCAGCTTCCCACAAAATATAAAAAAAATATAAAAAATACATCATCAAACATTAAAAACTTCCCTAAACAGAGCTGCCTTCAGGTGTCTTCTAAAAGTCAGATAGTTCTTTATTTCCTTGACATCTGATGAGAGGGTGTTTCACAGGGTGGGCGCCACTACTGAGAAGGCCCTCTGCCTGGTTCCCTGTAACTTCACTTCTCGTAGTGAGGGAACCGCCAGAAGGCCCTCGGAGCTGGACCTCAGTGAATGATGGGGGTGGAGACGCTCCTTCAGGTATACTGGGCCGAGGCCGTTTAGGGCTTTAAAGGTCAGCACCAACACTTTGAATTGTGCTCGGAAATGTACTGGGAGCCAATGTAGGTCTTTCAGGACCGGTGTTATGTGGTCTCAGCAGTCTAATTGCTCTGTTGTCAGAGGCATAAAAAAAGCCACATGTCCAATTTATTTATGGTAAACAACTGCTTACTATTAGATTCTAATGGATTATTGAATAGTCCTTTATTTGATATGTTGTGAGTTTTTTACATTGTATTATCAAATATTAATATTTGATGTTTTGTTGTGTTTTTATATGTGTTGGAAGCCGCCCAGAGTGGCTGGGGTAACCCAGCCAGATGGGTGGGGAATAAATAAATAAAAATTATCTTTATTATTATTATTATTTAGCAAGTAGAGACTGACACATACTAAAACTGCCTCCAAAATTTAAAAGCTGCTGTCCTATAATGAGTTTATAGACATATATAACAGAAAAAAGTATTAAGATACAATGTAATATAAAACAAATCTCAAAAAATTTCCGTTTTTTTACTCTGCTATTTAAAGCACTTGCTGCATTCCCAAATACAACAAACAGGATACTAAAGCTTTTTGCTTAGTTGCAATATGAAAGCAGGAACAGACAGCAGGAGCTGCTGCAAATGATTTTTGACTAAGACCTATAAATCTTTTCCAACCAGCTTCTCCTGTAAAATACTTCATGGAGCAGGAATGGGAACTCAAGATTCTTACTTTCGAGATCTGCTGCTCATTTATTTGGGTGCTTTTTGTACAAACCCATATAATTTAGTAATAGCTCCAAATGCTTTAATAAACAAAAATCAGAACTCCATCAAACAAATGACATCACTAATTTATATTTGTGGTAGCGCTACCACAGATTGTCATATATTGTGGGATTACTTTCGATTTATGCAGCCTGGTGATGTAGACAAGGCATTTGTTCCTCTGTACCAAACCATGGCTCCTTCTTGGCTTATTAAATCTAGCAGAGGGGTGTGACTGGTTGGACTGAGGGCATGGTTAACACTTCATAGTGTGAGGGGGTGATCCCTGACTTGAAAGAAACAACATCCACTCCTAAAGAAATCAACCCTGTGCCAGAATTCACCATGAAGTTGATACAGTAAGTGCCACACTTTTAACATTGGGGAGTGGGGAGGTGCCGGTAAGCATTTCTGGATACTGTTTATCTACTGATTCCAATCTGGGTTTAGGCCTGGCCATGTGACCAAATCTGCCTTGGCTGCCCTTATAAATCACTTTTACTGAGAATGGGACAAGAAGAATAAGTCCTTCCTCCTCCTCAATCTATCTGCAGCTTTTGTTACCATTAACCATGCTATCCTCCTAAATAGCTTACAGGGATTTTTTGAAATTTTACCTACAGGACCGAGTCCAGAAAGTAAGACTGGGGAATTGGTTTTTGGTCCCATGACAGTGCCACAGGGTGTTATACTATCACCAATGTTATTTAATATCTATATGAAACTGCTAGGAATGGTTATTAGGAAATTTGAAGCAAGATGCTGATAATAATTTATTGTATGCCTTTCCCACCCCTCAAAAGATGGTCTCAGGGTAAGAAAAAGCATATAAAAAGACTATTGGAACACTCAGCTCTATTTCTCAATGAAATCTGAAACAGGAGAGGCTGCACAAGTGGTGGCCTAGTGCCTGGATGCAATGGTAGGCTGGATGAGGACATATAAACAGAACTTTGATCCAAGCAAGGCTGAGGCTCTGTGGGTGAGTGGTTCCTGTGTCCCAGAAACGGGCCAGTTGCCTCCAAGGATGGGAGTTACACTTCCTCAGAAGATGCAGGTAAATGGTCTGGGGTTATTCCTGGATCCAGCTGTCACTAACTAGGCTCAGGTGATCTCCGCAGCTAGGAGCACCTTCCACCAGCTTCAGCCATTCCTCAACTAGGATAGCTTGCCCAAAGTAACCCAGGGCATTAGTAATTCTGAAAGTGGATTACTAAAGTATGATATATGCAGGGCTTCCCTTGCAATTGCTCTGAAAGATGCAGTCAGAGCAGAATGCATAGCATTATCGCTGACAGGAGTGAGAACCTACTAGCAACTCAAAGAACTGCACTAGCTGCTGATTTGCTATCAGGCCAAGTTCAAGGTCTTACTATTAGCATATAAAGCCCGTAACAGCTTGGGAGCAGTTTGTCTGTGGGGTCATCTAGTCCCTTATGTGCCTACTTCCACAGCTTCAATGTGCAAAACTTGCACTGAACAAACACCTTCATTATGCTGCTTTAGACACTGACTAAAAACTTTATTTCAGCAAACCTGGCCGTGTAAACAAGTTATGCGTACCTGCTTTTAAATTTTGTTGAATTGTATATTGATATCTGTTTTGTGTGCACCAATAAGTGACTTTTTTTGATTAGGCTGTTAATCAATTATTGTAAATAAATAAAAACAACAAATTATCCATTTCATCCAACTTTCTCATTATGGGATTCGCATTTGCAGCACACATTAACATGGGTGGTGGCTCCCAGGCAAACAAAGATGTTAACAGCTGAACCGAGGAGAAGCACCCCAAGAGACTCACTAGACGGTTGCATAATGACTGAGGAGAGAGCGAAAGAGCAGCTGCCACACTATCCAAGGGACATTTTAGATTCAGATGGTTTCATTCTTCTCTGCAGTCACATGAACCTGAAACCTAACTTTGCCTTTAACGACTTGAAAAACCTGGCACTTTCCGGCTTTTGTGAGCTATGCATCGGTTGTTTTCCTGTGGGTGGGATACTACATAACACATGCCCCCTGCAGTAGGTAACCCGCATAATGTTTATTTATTTTATATTAAAAAGACGTTTGGCAGGTCCGATGCGCGATGCTCACAGCTGAGAGCCGGCCGTTTAGCTGCCTTCCCCCTTAAGACGCGGGAAACGGAAACGGAACCGAGAGAGAGACTACCACGACTGACGGGCCCAGCGGCGAAGCTGGGTGGACAGCCGAGGCTGCCGCTGCCGCTTCCCCGCTTGCGAAACAGCGGAGGGACTCAGCCCTGCTCTCTTCCAGTAGTGGCGACAGCAGCCACCGCCCTCAAGCAAGCTCCCGCCGCACCTAGACACACCCGCTCGACTGCGGGGACTCTCTTCTCTTCCCCCCCCCCCCGCGGTGCTCGCGACCTCCCACCCGCCCATGTCTCCAGCAGCCGCCAGGCGCGAAGGCCGTTGGCGAAGGCACCCCAGCGCGCGCTTCTGAGGGCCGACAACTAACGGTCACTCCCTAGCGACGGGGTTCGCGCGCGCGCGCGCTTGTGTATGTGTGGTACATGAATGGACCGCGCGCGCCCTGGCCCCTCCTTCTGCCTCCTCCTCCTCCCACCCCCTTCCTTGGCCACCGGCCCCGGCGCGCACACCACAGACGCACTCACTGCGGAGGTTGTGGATGAGCTCGGAGTGACTGGCGCCTCCTGACTTCCAGGCCATAGCTAGACAGACTCTGCGGAGCAGGTAGAGAGCCGCCTTCAGTGCCGCGACTGCGCACAGCAGTTTCCCCAGGAAGGACACAACCTCCAGCGCCGACACAGGCGCCGCCTCCTTCCCTTCCGCAGCAGCAGCTGCCGCCGCCGCTGCCTCGCGTCCGCCGGAGGGAGGGGCCGCTCCCCCGCCCCCCCGCGCGCTCGACATTCTGAACGGGCGCCGCCGCCGGGCAACCGCGGCTGCTGTGCGCAGGCGCAGTACATGGAATAAAGGGGAGCGGGCCGGGAAGGGGGGAACCTCTTGGTGATGAGCGGAGGGGCGGGGTAGGAGGCTGGGTTCTTGGGGTTGCGGAGGACGGCGAGGGGCTTCGCAGCCGAGGTTGTGGGAAGCTGGCTGCTCCTTTAAACGGAAGCATGTGACTGGTTCTCCTGTCGGGCTATAAATAACCGTGGCATGGCCCATAAGGCACATTTGCAGTTTTATTTGCAGTGCAATGTGGGTAGGCTTTTGAGGCAGAGCTCAGTTTTAGGGGGTGAAAAGTCTCGCAGCGTCGCCGGCAGGGAGCAAAGCGCTCCTCCTGGCTGGACGCATACTCTCCTGGCTGGACGCATAACGCTTTCTGAAGTGTGGTGGCGGCGGCACATAGGACATATCTGTAATGGGGCCACATGATTTTTATTTATGTATCAAGAAAAAAGATTCATAGCCCACCAACCCCAGCACTGGGTACAACATAGAGAAAATCGTAACACAAAAAAAATCAAATGACGTACAAAAAGAGACAGTGGAAACAACAGAAAGGGGCTACAAGGATGTTGCCCACTAAAACGATAGGGCTGGGGAATGTTTGTGGAATTGCTGTTGGCTCTGGTGTGTGCTCAGCTGGGAGGGACAACACACCCAATGAGAAAATGCAATACGAAAATGGCAAACAAGCCCTCAACACCCCTGAAAACAGCCAGTGCCCACTAAGCTGCGATGCCAGCCATGCCCACATGCTGCCCACCCATGGAGGGAGCCAATGAACTCTCAGCAAGATAGGCGCATCTGCAGCACACACCATTGCATCACCATACATACAACACCCATGGCGATGCCACTCTGCCCCCACTCTTATCAGCCCAAGCGGCACAGCCAAAACTGACCCCTACTGTGAGTTCTGAAGCATCCCTCCAGACAGAGATCTGAATCCCTTTATGCTCCTCACAACCACTGTTTTGGAGCATAACCCACCAAGGACAGGAAGGGGAGCGCACACAACACAGCACTCACATAGCTCCCCAGGCAGGGCATACCTAAAGTATACACATAACACTTATAGGTTAAAGTTATACGGCCCACCCAAAGAGGAAGAGGCACTCTTGTTAAACAGCCAAGTCAAGGAGAGGGTGAAGAATGCTGTTCCATCTAACCTGTGAGGAGAATGAGGGAAACATGCTTCTTTAATTAATTTATTGGTAATTGCTTACACTTTCTCAACTCTGCCTAGATTTGGATGAGGAAGAATCCCAGAATCTGCAGTTTATGTACCGGAGAGGGAGAATTACTTTAACAAGAGCCATTTACTGTTCAGTGCACACTTGAGATAAATAAATATTTTATTATGGCAGCACTGTTCTTCAGAACTCCCTGCCTATAGGCAAGCTTGTTTGTTGTACTGTGTGCAATGTCTGCTAAAAAAATATTTTTTGTGTATATTGGTTTTTAAGGAGATTGATTTTATCTATATTATGATAATTATATTATGCCTACTTTTTAAAAAGTGTTGATTTTATCAGTATTTTCCTATGAATATTTAATATTACCTTACATAAACTGCTTAGAGGGCAGAACTTTGGAGCAGAAGTTCAGGGCCCCACTCAACAGGGCTGATATACCACATTTTGAAGTAACAAAATAATACGCACTGCCTTCTAAAGATGGTACCCTCCGTAATACTTTTAAGTACAGAGTCTAAAATTACCTAACCACACCACTTGAAATCATGTAGTTTTTATAGAGGCGAGAGTAACTGCCAAGAAGCTATCCGATATGCATGCTATACTATTTTATAGTCCAATTCTATGCAGAGCTAAGTGTGCCTATACCTGTTATGTACTGAAGTTCTCACCCTGGGCCAGGAGGGGGATACTGTAGATAGTTCAGGTCCAAATATGCAAATAAGGGATCGAAAGTGATGTTCAGTGATTGGATAGTTACAGAAAATTGTTACTGTTGCGTTCTAGTGGAGCTCTATATAAGTAGGCTGGCTGAACCCTTTAGTTCAGTCCTGTTCTGCCCTGTGAATAAACAAGAGCTGTTTGAAGAATCGCTGTGTTGTCTGATATGTTCACCCACAACTTAACAATACCCACCAGCCATTATAGCTTTTGAAAGTACATAATAACCAACAACTCCTGGCCCAGTTTGAGTTTACAGCCACAATCCTATGTATAGTTATCTGAGAATAAACCTCATTGAACACAGTGAGACATATGACTGAGCAAGTAAGATCTGGGTGCATGGATGCGATGCTATTGAGACTGTCACATGAAATCGAGTGCTGTTTTTGTCTTGCACAAAAATTAATCCTCCAAACCAAACACATTTTGGTCTCTCTTGCTGATGAAGTACTAACACTCATATTTTACTTACGTATACACACACTTCTTTCTCCCAGAACTGAGCAAACATGCATCAATCCATATAAATACACTATCATCCCATAATTTTGAAGCGACATATCGGGGAAACCATGATGTGGTTTCCGAAGTATCAAGGTCTGGCTTTAGAAATTGTAGAAGAAACAAGGAAGGAGCTTTACAGGCCTATGAATACTGTACTCTTCAGCTAATCCCACTGACAGCGAGTTCAACGAAGCTTATTCCATAGGAAGTGTGTTTCGAATGACACTGTGTAGCATGATCCCTCGCATGTTTACTCAAAAGTAAAAGCCACTCTATTCACTAGAATTTCCTAATAGGTGTGTATACAGTTGCTGCTGTAGCACACATGGATGTAGCCAGGGCGGACAGCTGCCCCCCCCCCAATAAGTAAATAGATAAAAACTTAACTAAAAGTAGAAATTGCAGATTGAGCACTTGGGGTGAAACGAAAGTAATTTAAAACAACTTGTTGAGACATTTTATTCGAAATCTGCAAGACAGAACCAGTTGATGATGACAGGTGGGTGTCCTGCCCCTGTCCTAACATAAATCCTGGCAACGCCCATAGTAGCACATATTGGGATGGTGGCCAAGAAGGATGACAGGAAGCCTTCCCTCGTGCCATTAGGTCCCTCGTCTTTATTAGGGTGCTCAGTATTGACATATATTACGAGATGTGGGGCATCACCATCACGTCCTGAGAGAAACCGACATGGAAGGAACGTCTGGAGATGCTTTACATCCCACCTCAGGTCCTCAGCGTTTCCTGCAATTCTAGCTATTAGAAAACGAAAGGAAAAGCCAAAGGTAGAGCATCCCGCGTTACTCCCCCCAGTAATCTCAGGAGTCTAACGCCTCCTTGAGAGAGAGAGCAGCTCAGTCCTGGCAGGCTTTTGTCCCGCTTCCTTCGCCGTCTCCCGTGACGTGTGTCAGCCAATCAAGAGGGCGCATTTGAAAGCCGGCGGAGGTAAGAGACGCGGCGGGTTCTCCCCGCTTAAGCATGGAGGATGTGGCGGCCAAGTACGTGTCCCAGAAAGTTAGTAAGGCCCGCTGGCGGCCCGTGTCTGCCGCTGCCCTGCAACCTCCCGAGGTCTTCGCTACCGGCTCGTGGGATAACGAGGTAACGCGGTTTCCCACCCCTGTCACCCCTTTCCACCCCCCGCCCTTCTCCCCTGTGGCCTCAGGGTGAGCTGCCTTGGAAAGATGGGTGCAACCACTCCCCCCCCCCCCGTCTTCGGTGCTTTCCGTTCCTACGTGCACGTTTTCCGTGTCTGAATCTCGGGGGTGGAGCTGTATTTTTTCTTTAGTGTATTCAACGGCGTGTGTGGTGTTGTAGTATTGGGCGGTTTTTAACTGTGTGATTCTGCCTGTTCTTATTTAACTGTTGAGCTCCCCGAGCCAGTGAGAACGTTAGGATAATAATAATAATTATTATTATTATTATTATTATTATTATTATTATTATTACCCCGCCCATCTGGCTGTGTTTCCCTAAGAAAATCCCCTCCCTTTTTTAAAAAAATGAACGACTAAAACAACTACTAGCCATTTGTAATGGCTTAGAATTAACTGGCATATACTAATAAGCATTTCATTCTGTGTTGGAAGTGTAATTTAATAGCTTTCTCTCTGTTTGTTTGCTCCCTCTCCTCACTAATGCAATAAGGTAGATTATGTGATCATTGAAAGCTTTTGTACAAAATTATAGAAACCTGGTAAGCTGTCTATTGACAGCTTAGGTACTATGTGTGTAAAAAAAGAAAATCTAGCAGTTTTGTGTTTCCATTCTTTTTACTTCTATGTGGTGTGCACAATATATAGTGTTCTGTATCTACCTTTTAGCTACATATATTTATTGATAGTATGGTATTTGGCTTGCTTTTTTAGCTTGGCAAGAAAAACGAAAGTGTAGCTGAAGTAGGTTGCTATCCAAGCTTGGTTTTTCTTATACTGGTACAAGAGCTTGCTTTTCTTGTAATCCTACAGGAAAATAAGATTTCAATTTGGTCTGTTGGAGACTTCGGAAGTTTGACCCCAAATGGAGAATATCATGGAGAACCACATCTGCTATGTGATATTGAACACAGTGGTGATGTTATGGATATGGAGGTAAAAGTGCTATAAAAATGACATTTAATTAATTTAATTAATGACATTTAATTTCCGTGTTAAGAAAGTTTAAGGTGTTGCAGTTATACCAGTAAGAAAGGGAGTTTCTAACCTCTACAGTTGGGGAAATTAAATATGGGACACTGATACAATTTGCTTATCAAATCTTGTGTAAATACAGATTTGTGTGTTAACATGTTTGAGGATTTCTTCTCCCTTAGTTTTTGGATCAGGAGAGAATTGTGACTGCTTCATCCACTGGAAGTGTGACCATATTCAGGCATCATCAAAATAATCAGGTAAATAGTATTCGTTTTCAGCTACTATGACAGTTGCTCTGCATGTCTAAAATAAACAAGTGTCAAATTTATATTTGACAGCTAAAAAACTCTAGTAGAAGTGGTTAGTTCTTTCTCTTGCACTTAGTTGACTAAAGCGTAATTGTGTGGTCCCTAGGCAGCTTTAGGAACATTTTGAGCACTATACCCATACAACTCGTCAGGTTTGTGTTGATGTATATTAGCTGAGTATACATTAATCTTGACAAAACCTTCATTGTGGAATAGTCTGCAGTTCTAATCACCATTAATCATAGTGAGACGTGCTTCTGGGTAATACTGCATATGATTGTGCTGTTAATATAAAGCTCAATATACAAAAGAAAACAGTGAAACATTTCTACTTCATTAGAACACTTATAATGTAGTCCTATATTAGATGGGGTTCCCCCCCCCCATTGTGTCTGGGACTTCATCAAAGGCTACGCTCCAACTATCAGCAGTTATGGAACTGTAGAAGCAAGGGCCAGTCTCTGTCACTGGCCAGAAGAATAAGGAGCATTGGGTACTTGTGTATTTTTAACGTGTTATAAGCTGTCTCAGAGGTTATTTGACCTAAAGGTAGTGTATAAATAAACAATGGATGGGATTCAGCTAAGTCATTAAATGACATGCAATGGGACCTTCCCTCCCTCCCGCACACCCCCTAAATCTGTTCTCTCGGGTTGGAATTCCTGGAACGTATTTAGCAGGTGTGCAGGCAGAAGAAACTGGAAACCCATTTGCATGAGCGGACCTCACTCCCTGTGTGCATACCCCACCTAGTGCTATGTTGAATTCCATCCATAATTATTTGCCCTTGTCCTTGAACGTCTGCTCATAACTTACCATTTGATTTGCTGTGTGTAATCAGTCTTTCAGATTAAATGTAAAACCATTCCTGCAGAATGGTTTGATGGGATATGTCTGGCAATCTGATTTCCTTGGAGTTGGTTACTCATGATAAATAACTGCAAGGCACTGACCTGAAATGTTGTAGATCAGGGTGGGGAACCTTGCATTCCCTCATAGCCAGCTTTCTGGGGCCACATGCCAATGGGTTCAGAATGAAAGTAAGTGTGACCAGAGTGGATAGGGCCAGAGCTGATGGTGTGGCCAACACACATAAATTTGCTGATGCTGTCTCACAGCATACACATATTCATTCTCTCCTGCCTTCTTGCTGCACGGAGGCTTTGAAAAACAGTAGGTTTTTTGGAAGCTATCTGTGACATGCTAATTGTGAGTGTGTACACACTGACCCAATTTGCTTGTTGTGTTAACAATAACAAATGGTTTGCCCTGAACATAGAGATTATGTCTGTTTTGCTCTTCCCCTCGAAGAAGCAACATTCCACCACCCCTGGTTTAGCATCATGGTCTTTTTCTCTTCTTGATTAAGTCAAGAACTAACCTTAACTTGACATTGTGGTTTGGAGTGAAACAAACCACGATTGCCAATTTGGATGTAACGCTAAGTTAGGGATTGTGATTTGTAGCTCCTGACTGTGTTAGAAAGGAAGTGAAGTGAGAGCCATCTGCACATCTGTGGTAAACCATTAATTAAGGTTTTCATGATGCTGCCCATCCAACATATTCTAGTTACCAGGAAAGGTGGAAACAGAATACCTCTGTGTCGCTTCCTTGAAACCTGGACATGTCACTAATGCGTTTGTACTTCAAACATTTAAAAAATCCTTTGGAAGATGTGGGGTGTATAGGAGCAGACAGAAATATGGTATGTGTCTGCTTGCAAAACTGAAGATATATTTACTGGCAATTTATATAATACAGTGGTACCCCGCAAGATGAACGCCTCGCAAGACGGAAAACCCGCTAGACGAAAGGGTTTTCCGTTTTGGAGGCGCTTCGCAAAACGAATTTCCCTATGGGCTTGCTTCGCAAGACGAAAGCCCATAGGGAAATCTCCGGGGACCTCTTTTAAATGCTAGCGGTGGGGAGCAAAGCCTTCCCCCCCCCCTCTGGCCTTCAGAAGAGATCCAGGAAGGCTGGCGGGGGCCGAAAGGCTTTGCTCCCCACCGCCAGCATTTTAAAAGCAGTCCGGGATAGCAGGGAAGCGCTTCCCGCTATCCCGGACGGCTTTTGAAGGCAGGAGAGGTCCGCGAAGCCTGGGCGCGCTGATCTCAGCGCGCGCAGGCTTCGGCATGCCGGCAACTCTCCACAAGCAGCGGCAGCGCTGCCGCTGCTTGCGGAGAGGTCCGCGAAGCCTTGGCCGGACAGCTTTTGAAGGCAGGCGGGGGGGAGCAAAGACTTTCGCCCCCGCCAGCCTTCAGAAGAGGTCCTGGACCTCTTCTGAAGGAGGGCGGGGGCAAATGTCTTTGTCCCCCCTGCCTGCCTTCCCGGGAGAGCGGAGAAACGCAGCGCGTTTCTCCGCTCTCCCGGGAGGGCTTTTAAAGGCAGGCAGGGGGGACAAAGACTTTTGCCCCCCGCCAGCCTTCAGAAGAGGTCCAGGACCTCTTCTGAAGGCTGGCGGGGGGCAAAAGTCTTTGTCCCCCCTGCCTGCCTTCCCAGGGGCTTTTAAATCGCCCCGGACAGCGGAGAAGTCCTCCACTGTCCCGGGGCGATTTTAAAATGCCGCCCGCCAGCATTTTAAGATCGCCCCGGACAGCGGAGAAGCCCTCCGCTGTCCCGGGGTTTTTTAAAATGCTGGGGGTGGGAAGAAAAGCCCTTGTCCCCCCCCCCAGCCTTCAGAAGAGGTCGGGGGACAGACTGTCCCCGGACCTGGTCTGAAGTCGGTTTCCCTAGGAACGCATTAATTGATTTTCAATGCATTCCTATGGGAAACCGTGCATCGCAAGACGAAAAACTCGCAAGAAGAAAAAACTTGCGGAACGAATTAATTTCGTCTTGCGAGGCACCACTGTACATAGATTATTATCTTGACTTTTGAAACTTTAGTAGCTAACTTATGTAGTTGTTACTTCTGTAGCATTTTTCATTGTACCATTTTATTTACAATTCGCATTTATGCAGTCTTACTGCACTCTGTAAATTGGTTTAGCCTAAGTGGTAATTTGTATAAAGCTACCCAAAAACCTTTTATATCTGATGGAGTTTTGAACTTGAATGTGTGCATCGCAGCTCTAAATTCAGATACTGTACTAACTTTTTCCACATAGGGTGGCTGTTTAATCCTCTTTTTTGTCTTTTAGACTCTGTCTTTAAACCAGAAATGGAAAAATGCACATTACTATGATGCATCTGGTGGCAGTGCATCATGCACTGGGATCATATGCAACAGCCCTGAAATTTTTACGGTTGGTGAAGATGGTAGGATAAATGTGTTTGAAGTTGACCATAAGGAAGCTAAACGTACTATAGGTAAGTAATTTGAGCTCAAGTCCTAAATATTTGTGCAACATATTGTTGTAAACCTTCCTGCTCACCTTTTGCTAGCTCAGGATAAAAATGAATCAATTGTCTGGGGAGTCCTTGGAAGATCCATGAGTGCCATTTTTATGTGAACTTAATCATAGCTGTAGGCAACAAGAATATTAAGTACACTTTTAGAACAAAGTATATACAACTATGAAATACTGGAATGTGATTTACACTGATACTGTACATTGATGGGCATGTGCAGCATTGCTTACCTTACCCTATAAACCACCAGTTCATTGAGGCTCAGGAAGACATTAAATTTTGGATGGTGCCCTTTGTCATCTGCCTTAATCTACATGCCAAGGTGTTTTGAATCTTTTTAAGCAGATGAGATAAACATTTTCCAAACTGACAGCTCTCCTGTTTGAACCGAAGTATAGCTCATGCTTTGCTATATGTTAGTACTGCTATTAGTTGTTAAAACTCCTTCTGCACACGTCCAATTTCCATAGGAATGGTATACTCTGCTGCAATGCCTGTAGTTTGCTTTCTCATTAAAAGCATTCTCTAATAAAATTATTAGGGTTTTTTTAGAGCAAAGAATATTCTCAGGGACCTACAGACAGACACGTTCTGCTGTGGTTTTCATAAGAACTCATATGCAAATGCAGCAAAGCTTCAACAGTAAGATCTTAACGAATATGGTTAAAAAAGTGCTTTTGTAGTAATGGTTAGAAAAGTGAACAAGAAACAATAGCTTCAGCAAAATGGAAGCTGTAGACCAAAACTGTTTAGCCATTTAACAAAATCTAAAATTGCTACTGGTTTCTTAACCAAGGTATTGAGATATTTAATGATGAAATAGTGGCATAACAAACCAGTCAGCAGTTCTCAGGGAGGCAACACTCTTCTCTCATACACCAATGAAGTTATTCTGGTGTTGATCATTTGTGAAGACACTGATAAGGGCCATGTACACTTTAAAATACTTGACCTTTACTTTCATGAAGTTTCTAATTGGATTCTTTGCACTTTAATAAGCATTGTACAAAAATTCCCGTCTCACTTGGTAGACAGAAGTGTGAGCAATATATCAGAAACAGTAATATTGAATTCTGTGGGGATTACTCCCAGGTAAATGGCTATAGGATTACAACCTTAGTATACCCTTAATGAGAAGGTATATTAGTATATCCAACTAGTAGTTTACATGCCAGAAAATTCTAATCTCCGGGGGTAAATCCTACAGTTACTTCTTAGAAACAGTTGTTCACTCTGCTTTTCTGATATATAAACAAACAGTGCTTGCTAAGAGTGATACAATTTTAGATGATATGAACTTTTTTTCTAATTTTTTTCTAATTTCCTGTAGATAATGCTGACAGCAGTACACTCCATGCAGTTACTCAACTTCGCACAACAGAGATCCTGACAGTCAATTCCATTGGTCAGCTAAAAGTATGGGATTTCAGACAGCAAGGAAATGAGCCTTCACAGATATTTTCATTGTAAGTATGTACTCTCGGATAAGGAATGCTGTTAAAGCCAAGCACTATAGCTAAATGTCATTTGCTTCCTGGATTACAGCCTGTTTGATTCCCCATTGAAATGTGTGTTCCTCTTGCCTTGCAGGACAGGGGAAAGAGTTCCACTGCACTGTGTGGATAGGCACCCTAGTCAGCAGCACATTGTAGCCACAGGCAGCCAAGATGGAATGCTGAGTATTTGGGATGTAAGACAAGGCGGCATACCAGTTTCCTTGCTAAATGCTCATGACGCAGAATGTAAGTACCGAAACAAACAGGCGTAATTCTTGCGCCTGTCCTAATGTCAACAACTAGAGGTACAAGCCTTCCACACAAGAGTACAGTACTTGGGCGAGGCAGGATTTCCATAGAGCTCAATAGACCCTTGTATCTCTCCTCCTTGGCATATACATGGGTATATGTTTGGGAGGTATGTACAACCTCCAGTTATTCAAATGGTTGTGGTGTGTCCATATATACGAGCTATGAGGTAAAAGAGAAATGGCTCTAAGCCAGCCTTTCTTAACATTGTTCCCCCAGATTCATAGGGTACTGTAATAGAATTGTAGCATTGCAAGGGACCCCTAGGAGCACGTGTGTGTCTTCATATCAGGGAATTAGCCCTTCCAGAACATGAATGAATAAGAGAATTTATTACAAAATTCTTAAATAGAACCTATTCCCAGTACAGTCACCCTCTGTTCTGCTGGGACACAGGAGAGCTAGCACAGAAACTACGACACATTTTACAAAATATAGAAGAGCGTAGCAACTGTAACTTGGGAACATAGTCTAGGCAGTGGAATGCCCTCATAAGGTGCTCAAGAGGGAACAATAGAGATTTCACTGTATTTTCTCAATAAAATTTCATTTCAGGAAAAGCTACAATCACACCCCATGTGAGGGTTCTGTTCCAGAGGCAGTGTGCATACTCAAAATCATTTCGTAGTTCATAGAAAAAATATATGTATGAGTCTACTTTGTAAAAATTCAAGCTTCTGTTCTACTTAGGTTCACTGTATTACACTCAACCTCTAATAATAGTCTATTATTGTAAAATGTTACACACCTTCATGCTATATAGTATCTTTATTATGTCCAGATTAGTGTATATTGCAATAAAATTTGTTTACTTCTTCAGTATGGGAAGTCCACTTTCATCCCTCCAATCCTGATCATCTGTTCACTTGTTCAGAAGATGGAGCTCTGTGGCACTGGGATGTTTCCACTGATGTGTCTGAAAGAAAATCATTCCTTCATACAGGTAAATTTCCTATTTTTGAGAAACTTGAAGGAGCTTATCTTCTGTCAGTAGACTTAGGAGTGAGTGTAAAGGAAAAGCATGGGACAACATGGGCTTATCAAGTATAGATGTTACTACATTTTTGTGTCTGCTCATCTTCAGAGAGTTCTTCTGTTGCGATATTCAGTTTGGCATTTTCTGTTTATTTCTAATATGCTGTGTCTCTAGCCAAATTAAGATAGAGCAGTAAAACTTGGCACAATCTACATTTCAAGTTCGTAAACTGGCCTAATGTTTCTCTGCTATCCCATCTGTGGTTAATGTGAGGAGGGAGGAAATATATACATATACTAGAAATCTCAAAGGGATTCTGTGGTGAAAGCAGTACAGTATCTGGTGCCAATTTTCCAAGTTGGTGTGGTAATGTGGTATGTTTACAATCACTCTGTTTGGGGAATGAAACTTTCAGCAGTGACTTACTGCTTTGATAAAGGAAGTGAAAGGTTGGTAGTGCTTGAAGGAAACACACAAATGTAGAAAAGGAGGTACTAGAATGAAAGGCTCAAATTTTGAAAGTTGGGTGGAAGAGATCCCCTTGAAATAAAGTGGTTGAAGGCTAGGCCATGAATTTTAAAAACAGAGATGAGCCAGGGGAAGAGAAGGAAATAATGTGTTGCATTATGTAGCATAACACGTGTAGCACCTGAAGAACAGTGGTTTTGCCTGCTGCTGCTACTCTGTTATTTATAGGCAGCCCTTTGGTAAAAGACTCCAAGAGAACCATACAACTCAAATAGTTAAACACTATAGAAAATATAATTTCTAATAATAAAACCCATAAAAAACATAAAATTCAGCAGTCATAACAACTTAAAACCATCTACAAAGTATGTTGAAACATATTGGCAATGAAGTCTTTGCCTGACACCAAACAGAAATTAAGGTAGACACTAGGGAAGTTTCCCTGGGAGAGCATTTAATATAAGAGACACTGTGACAGAGAAAATCCTCTTCCCATTACCACTTGCCTAACTTCAGGGCAACTTGCCTAACTTGTCAAGGGGATATGGACAAGACCTGAAGAATGAAGCGTTCATGTTTTGGAAGGCAGTCCTTCAGATTGCCAAGTCCCAAACCATTTAGGACTTCATAGGTAATGAATAGGGTGGTCTGGTAACCTGTATACTGAACTTTGACTGTATACTGTCTTTGGAAACTGTTTGGAAACTGCAGTTGGTATAAAATACAGCCGATAGCCTACTAACTGGAGCTGGCTCTAGGGACCATGTCTCACTCTTGTACTAGGCTCTCATAGTTGAGAAGGCAAAGGTAAAAAAGGTAAAGGATCCTGGATGGTGAAGTCCAGTCAAAGGCGAATATGGGGTTGTGGTACTTATCTTGCCTTCAGGCCGAGGGAGCCAGTGTTTGTCTACAGACAGCTTTCTGGGTCATGTGGCCAGCATGACTAAACCGCTTCTGGTGCAACGGAACACTGTGACGTAAACCAGAGCGCACAGAAACGCCGTTTACCTTCCCACCACTGTGGTACCTATTTATCTATTTGCACTGGCGTGCTTTCGAACTGCTAGGTTGGCAGGAGCTAGGACAGAGCTCACTCCGTAGTGGAATTCGAACCGCCGACCTTCTGATGGGCAAGCTCAAAAGGCTCAGTGGTTTAGACCATAGCACCACCCCATCCCTAAGTTGAGAAGGAAAGAGGTGTAGGCTGTATTTCTGGGATGTGAGCAGCAAAGCCAAATACTTAAACTGTTAACAACATGAAAAACGGTTAGTCATCACATTTGCTATGGAGAACAATGACTTTCTAATTTCTGCATTTAAGTTAAAAATTAACTCATTTTGTGTTTTATTTTAGGTGGGAGAAGTACTACTACATATCTGCCTCACAGTGCAGTTAATCAATCTGTAACAAGTGCCTGGCTGAGCAATGATCCCACTAAAGACCGCATGGAGATCACAAATTTAGTTTCAAATCCAACATTATCTGTGAATAGTTTAGATGTTTTAGGATCATGTCTTGTATATGGAACTGATGCAGAATCTATTTATGTTAAAAAAAACCTATTTGCATAATTTTATCTCCACCAAAGCTGATTTTGAACTTGTAAATGCTGAAATACATACATTTTCTAGCCATAAACTAGGGGAATAATTTGTAATGGCAGATAAACTACAATTCACATTGCAGCCTCGATTCTTTAACCATGTTACATAAAAGAAAAATAATTGCCATTTCTTTCTAGTTCATGGGTTACCAACTCCTCTTTGCAGTAAGCTACCTAAAGCTCAAAAATTTAAAAGGATAGTTCAGCCACTTTTACAGTTCTTCAGCAATCATGAAGAGTATAATTAATGTTTAGGTTACTGATAGTGGCAGTAGGTTAATTTCTGAACAAATGCTTGTTTTGGGGAGACTTACGTTGCATTTGTATGTACCAATTAGGTTACAATACTTCTAATCGAAGCTGGAAAAAATATAAATCTTGGCAAAAGAAAACAGAAACAGTAGACTGTTAAAATGCTTCAAAATTTTAATAGTAAGCCATGAAATGGTTTTAAATAGTAACTTTAATGTGACACTGCATACCTCCAACACTGTATCTGACAATAAGATCAATCTTTGGCCTGTCATACAAATTCCATTTAGATTAGCACTGTTACTATGAATTTTTACTTGGAAGTAAGTCCCACTGATTTCAGGAAGACTTTTTCCCAGTTAAGTGTGCTAAGGTTCAACAGCCTTGTCAATTTAAGAAACACAACTGTTTGTAAAATTGTTAAATCACTGACTGCATGTATCATTTATGAGAAAACTTTTTTATTAAACTGTCAATAGAAGTTGGTTTTCTTTTTCCTACACTCGAGTGCTCAAACAATTATTATAGAACTTGAACATATTTATTGAATAATAAAGCTGTCTTTGATAGCTGTAAGCAGGGCTGCCAGGAGAAGGGTCTATGATAAGGTTACCAGATTTTTTTCAATGAATCCGGGGACATTTTTCAACTTCCTACTAAATACCATAGATGGATTTTGTCAGGGGACTGATTTGTAAATCTGGGGACATCTGGTAACCTTAGTCTATGAGTCCAAGTGAGCTTTTTAAACCAAAAGTGAATAGTTTGTTCCAGCCCTCCTCCAGGTGTATAGGACCAAGAGCTGTTTGGGGTAGGCAGGTGGGTAGGAAGGCACTGATGCACTCCAAAGAAGGCTGTCCTGTTACAGAAACCATGTGAAGGCCATAGCTTTACCTCCACAATAAGTCTTCAGTTAGGATTAGGCTAAACAGCCCTATGCCGCTTGTGAGTTGTGGCCTGATCCAAGGTGGGCCACAACAGGAGCACTACCACCATGCAAATGCACAGTAAAAAGATTAAGGAGTGTGTCCCCAACTGCATGTTTGGGTGAAGAGTGGTTTGCTGATCAGAAGGTTGGTGGTTTGAATCCCCGCGACAGGGTGAGCTCTCATTGCTCAGTCCCTGCTCCTGCCAACCTAGCAGTTCAAAAGCACATCAAAGTGCAAGTAGATAAATCGGTACCACTTTGGCGGGAAGGTAAATGGCGTTTCTGTGTGCTGCTCTGGTTCGCCAGAAGCAGCTTAGTCATGCTGGCCACATGCCCTGGAAGCTGTCTGCGGACAAACGCCAGCTCTCTCTGCTAGTAAAGCAAGATGAGGGCAGCAACTCCAGAGTCATCCGTGACTGGACTTAACAGTCTGGGGTCCCTTTACCTTTAAACAACCCTATGCCGCTTGTGAGTTGTGGCCTGATCCAAGGGAAGAAGAGAAGAGGAGGAGTTTGGACTTGATATCCTGCCTTTCACTCCCCTTAAGGAGTCTCAAAGCAGCTCACAATCTCCTTTCCCTTCCTCCCCCACAACAAACACTCTGTGAGGTGAGTGAGGCTGAGAGACTTCAGAGAAGTGTGACTGGCCCAAGATCACCCAGCAGCTGCATGTGGGCCACAACAGGAGCACTTTTGTTTAGTCGTTTAGTCGTGTCCGACTCTTCGTGACCCCATGGACCAGAGCACGCCAGGCACCTCTGTCCTCCACTACCTCCTGCAGTTTGGTCAAACTCATGCTGGTAACCTCGAAAACACTATCCAACCATCTCATCCTCTGTCGCCCCCTTCTCCTTGTGCCCTCCATCTTTCCCAGCATCAGTGTCTTCTCCAGGGACTACCACCATGCAAATGCATGGTAAAAGATTAAGAAATGTGTCCCCTACTGCATGTTTGGGTGAAGAGTGGGTCCTGGGTCTGAAAACTGTTTCCTTGAAGAATGGGGGGGGGGGTAGGCTAAGCCGAAGGCATCAGAATGCCTTGGCCTGGTTCTGTCCTCTACTTAGTTCCACCCAATGGGCCCAATCCGCACCCCCCGACAGCCAGAGCAGGGAGGGAGAAGCGACCCATGAGTAGAGACTGCAGCTGTTCCTTGCAGCCACCTACTGCTCGCCGGCAACCGAGCAACGAAACTAGTTGCAAGAAATAGCTGCCGCAGCCATCTCGCTCTCTCAGCGGCACGCTCATATCCTTGCCCAGGCCCTACTGTTTGGCCCGCTTGCTCGCCCGCCTGAGCAGCCGCTTTCCCTCGCTCGCGTTGCGTGCTCCTTCCGGGCAGAAGCAAGCGGAGGCTGCTGCTGCTCGTTGGCACTGCCAGCTGCTCTGCCTCCCTTCGGTGAGAGGGAGCTGTCTACCCGCAGCAGCAGCTCACAGGCGCTGCGAGAGACGCACGCGCCTGCCTTCTCCCCACTGCTCGCCTGGCCCAGCTTCCCTCGCCAGTTGCATCACCCGCCTCGACCCCCCCCCCCAGAAGGCGGAGGCTTCTGACTCCTCGCATTCCAAAGCAAGGGGAGAAGAGGAGGAGGAGGCAAAAAGCCGGCGAAACACGCAAAGGAAGACGGGAAAAGGTTTTACATCCGGGAACCTTGGGCGACAGGCCCTCCGACAAAATGGCGGCCCGGAACTGAACCCCGGAAAAAAGGGGGTGGGTGGGAGATATTGCAGGGGGGAGGGGACGAGCAACTGCTGCCATCAGCACCGGGGACCGAAGCCTTGCTGGCCGCTGCAGAGACGCGCTGCTCCCGCCCCTCTGGGAATCGCTCGCCTCGAGGCGCTGCCGTCTCCTCCTCCTCCTCCTCCTCCCTCAGGCAGGTGGGTAGGAAGGCTTGGCTGCAGTTCCGCCTCAGGGAAGGAAACTCGGTGGCTAGTTAATGGGGAAGGCCCTGCGCACCGCACGCCTTGGCCTGGGGTGTTATAACGGGTCCTTCGCTGCCACGGCAAGAACGTCGCTGCCTCCCTTGCGTGGTGAGCGTCTCACCTCCTTCCTCCCCCCGCATTCCTCCGTCTCCGTACAGCTTCTCTCAGGCAGGTTTCTGGCCTTTTTGGTGTCGTGGGCCATCCGTCCCATTCAACCTTAGACACCCGCTTGCAGCCACCTTATTTATTTCCTGCTCTCCATCCGTTCCCCACTTTTTCATGCCGTGCTGACGAGAAGTAAGTGTAACGTCTTAACGAAGTAGCTGTTCTCTTTTATTTCTCTATTTGGTATTTTGTTTTCCTGTCAGATTTCTCTGTCTTGCTGACTGGTTTTTAAAAAAATGATAATTAAAGAAAGGTAGTAGTTAACATTCTCCCAGGGCAGATGAGAATTGTTTAGAAACCTGCCTACTATTTCTCCACAGCCAGTTCTGTATTATAATTTTTAAAATGTTTCATCTTACTGCTTGGAATAATGATTAGATGAAAAAGAATGTCTGTTCAAAGTATAACACCAATGTGAATCTGAGATTAATCTGCAAGATCAAATCACTTAACAGAGAACATTATCTAACTGATATGATGCTGATAGGCTTTTCTTTTTCTGGTTTACAGTACTGTATAGTACTTTGCTTAGGTGCAAGTTTGAGTTGAACTGATCTATAGTCATAAATAGCCTAATTGTGAAGAAAAACCTGCAGTTGGAGTTTTTTTCCTCTTTAAACCACAGCTCCACTTCCAAGTATTTTGGTATTGATTGTCATTATTAAATATTAGGTGCTTAACATTCTGCTGTATTCTATACAAATAATAAAATAGGCAAACTTTTGCCATATTATCTTTTGCCCAGGGTGGAGAGAGGGAATATTGTAAACAAAAAACACAGAACCTCAGATATATAAATTTTACTTAAGGGGGGAGGAATGAAAAGATTACTGTGCTTTATTTTCTTTTGTTTTAAAAGTGTGCCTCAATGTGGTGTTTTTGAGACATAATGATTGTAGGTATTAACAGTTATAAAAGTTAGCTGTGTCTTTTGTCCTCATAGTTTATGGCGTGGGTAGGCAAACTAAGGCCCGGGGGCTGGATGCGACCCAATTGCCTTCTAAATCCAGCCCCCAGATGGTCTGGGAATCAGCATGTTTTTACATGAGTAGAATGTGTCCTTTTATTTAAAATGCATCTCTGGGTTATTTGTGAGGCATAGGAATTTGTTCATATTCCAACATCCCCAAATATAGTCCGACCCCCCACAAGGTCTGAGGGACAGTGGACTGGCCCCCTGCTGAAAAGCTTTGCTGACCCCTGGTTTATAGTATTGCATTGGCATTTATGAGCTATTAGACTTTTGCTTCATTGTTATAGGTCTCCTAACAGCTTGATCTTACACATGTTTATTCAAGTTTAATTTATTTAAATTGGGCTTACTCCCAAGTGTGTTTGTGATCTAAGGTAGTGGTTCCCAAACTTGTTATCTCCTGGACCACCTGAAAATTGCTGAGTGTCTTGGCAGACCACTTAATGATTTTCTATTTGTTTAGCAATTGTACTATGCTGTGCTAGATACTGAAGTATTTCTTTAAAATTATATGGAATTCAAATTTTAATACAATAACTTGGCGCTCAGGACTCTTTAAGTGGAATCAGCAAATACTGCATCTCCCATCCTTCTACCTGCAAGAATGTCCAGTTTGCAGAGCAGCAGCTTTCTTTAATCAACACATTTCCATTAGAGAATCCTTTTTCATTTGTAACATGGCAGGTCTGAATCCAGCTCTTTGTGAATTAAAGCATGACTAGTGATGGACGCGGGTGGCGCTGTGGGTTAAACCACAGAGCCTAGGACTTGCCGATCAGAAGGTCGGCAGTTCGAATGCCCGTGATGGGGTGAGCTCCCGTTGCTCAGTCCCTGCTCTTGCCAACCTAGCAGTTTGAAAGCACGTCAAAGTGCAAGTAGATAAATAGGTACCACTCCGGCGGGAAGGTAAACGGCATTTCCGTGCACTGCTCTGGTTCACCAGAAGCAGCTTAGTCATGCTGGCCACATGCCCTGGAAACTGTCTGCGGACAAACACCAGCTCCCTCAGCCAGTAAAGCGAGATGAAAAAAGCGCCGCAATCCCAGAGAGTTGTCTGCGACTGGACCTAATGGTCAGGGGTACCTTTACCTTTACCTTTAGTGATATTTAGCAGGAAGAGAAAAATAGTTTTAAACTTTAATATATTGAAAGAAAACAGAAGGGACACAAGCCAATTCCTATCAGCTTTTAAAAAATAAGTTAATACAACATGTAATATTTTAGTTCACATATAGTGTTGAGCATTTCTAGTTGATTCCTATTCAAAGAGGTATTTTCATATTGGCCATCCCAGTAGGATTTCTTTCTTTTTTTATTTATTACAGGTGTGGATCCCACATTCTTTCACTACTGCTTTTGAAAGTACTATGCTTCAAAAGCAAATTGCAGTGTAGCTGATACTTTGGTGGGTTTTTTAAGCCCACACCTCATTTGAAATGTGGAACTAAATGTGCCATTGGTAAAGTGTGGATAAAAACTTTAGAAGCTGTTCTTTTTTTCCATTGAGGACTGTTCAGGCTCATTGAAATCAAAGTTGGATTGCCCACTGACTTAAGTGGGAAGAAGTAGATCATTTTGTTGAAAATGCAGACTTTAAGTAGGTAGTCCTTTTTAAAAGGTGAGTGGATAGTCCTGCAGGTCTTTGCCTCTTGTGTACCTACTATCTTTGCAGTATTTTAACTGGATTGATGGCCTATGTTCTTAGCACTACCTTGAACATCCTTCATTGAAAGCAAATATATAGGACAACATCTAGTGATGTCCAACTGATTGTGCAGCAGATTTCTGTGTATGCAATGGGACTCCCCTTCCTTTGCTCCCTTAGCTCCCCTACATGCCCTCCAAATCTCCAAAGGGCCCTTTAACCCCCGAGGTGACTAGAGGGAAAGAGGATAGGGCAGCTATTGGGAGGTGGGGCCAGGTACATCGAGATGGAGCTAAAGATAGGGGAAGTACTGTACTACAGTTTTGTGAGACACACTTATTTTAGGGTAAACCTCATTGAACAAAGTGGGACTTATGAGTAAGATTGTGTTAGTAATCTTGACTATGTCCTACTTCAGAAATATAATTAGTCATTACATAGTGACACTACATCATTCCTATAGAGAAACCAGCAAAATGTTACCTTCAGGAACAGTTACTTTACCACATGCAGCTCGATCCAATGCATGATTACTTATTGAATGGAATATGACTGGCTCCCAAAGTAGTGCATATTGGATTGCATTCCTGTGCCTTTGACAGTAGCTTAACATGCTGAAAGTAAACAGGTGAAGCTCTTCATAACATGTCTATATCAATTGTGGGGAAAGCAGCTTCCAGCCAGTGTACTTAGAAGTGGCCTTATTCCTAAGTGCACTGGAGTACAGCCTTCATAGAAACCCTGCTTTTCATATCAGGCTACTGCTAAACTCACGGAAGCAGGAAAATAAAGTTGGTAATCCTGCTGCTAGTCTAGAAAGATGCCTTGGGGGACAAGTAGAATTGCCACCTTTTCCTCACTGGATTCTTGTGCCTTCAAACAGCTGCAAGGAGAAGCAAATTTTCAGCAGCTGTAACTTACCTAGGAATGGAAAATCCAGTTTTGGAGCCTGATCTGGGTATCAAAATGAACTTTCATTAAATTTGCAATAGGAATAAAAGTTTCAAGTATCCATTTCACTGAGGATTGGTGAGGCTCAGAGACCAATAACATACTTGTCCATTTCAGAGAGTTGCAAAAGCCTATTGTAGAGCAGAGAAAATGGTAGTTATGTTGTGTTTTATAAATCCAGATGTGCACCAGATGAGTTAGCTTCACTTAAAAATTCCAGAGGGGAAAAATGGACTACTGCTACTGAAAGTAAACCTCCAACAAAGCTTTTCCAAAAGTGCATTTCAGGGACACCCCACCCCCATTTTAAAAGCAGTTTAAAATATTTCTTTCTCCACAAACTAGACATAAGTTTAATTTACCCCAACAGAAATGACTTCTTGCAAAAAGAGGTCTGAATTTTTGCATAATAGTCTTGGACTTGGTTAGTTTGTTTTGAGAGTCTGCAGTCAATGCCAGCAGTATCCCCAGTCTTTGACAGCACACAGAACATTTACGTTGGGTGAGTTATACATGGATATCTCTGAAGTTGTGTCTTCTTTATAGAGTCTCTCCATGCCTGCTTCCCTCAATTCAAGCTAGGTTATAAAGAATAAAGCATTTTGCTAAAGCTGTCAGATCAAATCATTTGGAAACAAACATGTAAATAAAACTCTGGCTGCAATCCTATGCACACTTAATTGAGAGTAAAACCAAATGATCCCAGCAGGAGTTATTTTTTACTAAGCATGCATAGGATTTTGCTGTTGGCAGGAAAACAACAATTGGAAAATGTTATAACAATGACATTTATTTATTTAGGGTGGCTGACCTAGGTTTGAATGAATGGTTATCCTCCTGGAATCAAGGTCAACCGTGAATTTTGAAGTTGCCATCCAACTTGTTGGTATATTGAAGGTCAATCTTCGTTAAAGGTTATACAGTTTCATGAAGAGAAGTGAGAAGCCAGAAGGTTATAGACAAATGAGGCCTAAAACTTTTCCTGCCAGTAATTACACTGGTAGCAGCCGGCAAATGTTGCAAGAAATACGAGAAAGCCTTAGAAATTTGCCTAAGCCCTCTGAAGCTGCAAAAGTTGAGCAAAATGTGGGTAAAATATCAACTGATGATCCCAGACAGGGTCGAAATCCCCCTAAATTTGTGACCTACCATAAAGCATTACAAGAAATTCGAAATTCTCTGCTTCCCTTTGCAAATGAAACAAGTTCTTCAACAAGAGGAACATCAGAAGTTAATCGGCAGATGTTGCAAGATCTACAAGCTGCTGGATTTGATGAGGTAAAATAACAAATTTAAGTGGTTACTTATATTAATGATAGTGCAAAAGCCATATGAAATCATTGTGAATGTTTTGCTTGTAATTTGTTATTGGGGACTCAGAAAACAGTGTCGCGGGTAATATTTTGCTGCTTCCTATGCACATTCCTAGTATAAGCTTAATGTTCCTGTCTAGAATTCAGTCCAAAATGCAGAGTGTATAACTTTGGCTTTCTAGTGATTATAATTAGTTCTACAGTGGTGCCTCGCAAGACGAAAAGAATCCGTTCCGCGATTCTCTTCGTCTAGCGGTTTTTTCGTCTTACGAAGCAAGCCCATTGACAGCTTAGCGGATTAGCGCTACAGCGGTCTAGCGGCTTTTCGCGATCAGCTGTTAAGCGGCTTATCAGCGGAACAGCTGATAAGCGGATTAGCGCCTTAGGAAAGGGGGGGGGAGCGGAAAAAAACGCGGGGACTCGCAAGATTTTTTCGTCTTGCGAAGCAACCCCATAGGGAAATTCGTTTTGCGAAGCGCCTCCAATACGGAAAACCCTTTTGTCTAGCAGGTTTTCTGTCTTGCGAGGCGTTCGTCTTGCGGGGCACCACTGTATTGGTTTTCAAAAGGATTTGTTTTTCTTTTTTGATTGTGGTTCAGGTCTTTTCCACAAGCATTTCAGATTGCTAGCAACCTCTTATTTGATTAAAGTTAATACCATATGTAATGTTAATGAGATGATTATTTTATACACTGTTGCTCTTTTTGTGTTTTCTGTTTCTTGTATCTTATTATTTTTGGGATTTCATTAGTGCATAAAATTCAAGTGCTTTAGATGGTGCAACATATCAGCCCAAGTACCCAACTCTTTCAGTGTAACTTGTATACTTTTAAGATGCATCATGTTTTTGAGGCTGCATTCCTAACATGCTTACCAGAGGAAGTCCCTTTGCCATATTTCTCTCTTCTCTGGAGTCTGTCAATCATCTGCTTTGGATCATTTTCTCTTTATCTCTTTCCTCACAATCTTGTTAGTTATTTTGTTTTATGCTGAACCTGCAGCTTCACTTCTATATTTGTTTCCATTTCTGATAACTCTGCTTGAGTTTTTGCTATTTCTGGCGAGATGTGTTTCCATTCACTTTCTCTTAACGTTTCCCAAACTGGGCTATTGGTCTTTTCTACTTCTCTACGTACACTATATTTATTTTCTTTTACTTTGCATCATTCTTCTCCTTTATGTTAAAGTTGTTTTTGATTCCTCTCTTTATTCAAGCTGTTTCAAAAAAATGTTCAAACATAAATATAACTAATATGTATTTTTTTGTTGTCCGCTTCCACTGCCAAGGCACTGGTGTAGTATTAATTATTAAGTTATAGCTTTATAGCTTTGCTCTTCTCAGCTTCCTCTGGTCTCTTCCATCCTTTTAACTCTGCTGCTGATTTGGTTCATTTTGGCCACTGTCTTGGTTGTTGTTTGAATTACCTTCATTGAGTTCCTTATCAGAGACAGTTTTAAGCTGTCACTTCCTTTTCTTAAACCTCTTCTCTATGGACAACCATCTTATCTATCTTGTATTTGTCTTCTCATAGTCTTCACCTCTTGCTTTACTTTCTCTCACACCCAGTGCTTTTTTGTTTCCACTGGTGAAAGGAATGTGTAATGAACTAGGGAGTAGGAGTTTCAAGGGAAAGTGGCAAGATATCCCCTTGCAGCTATTTCTGCTGCCTGCAACATACACCACTGAATTGAGAAACGTACTGCGTGATGTAAGGGAGAGTTTTCCCTCTGTTTTCTTTCCCACTCCCTTGCAGCTGGGAGGCATCCCTTTGTCTGGGTGGCAGGAATGGATTTGGTGGATGAATATATCCTCAGTTGGGTTGCTGCTCCTGTTTATTCCAGAAAGTGGAGCTATTGAAATCAGGCACAACTACCCTCTAAAGGAGAGCACCTTCCCTCAGTCTACTGACTTGAGTCAGGAGAGCTCAGACCTTTACCTTTATGTTTACCTTTCCCCCTTCTCCCTCTTTTTTGTCTGCCTTGTGTTTTCTTTAAGACCACTCTCTTATGTATTCTAAAGAGAGAGAAAGAAGCAGCTCAGTGTGCTTTTGATCCCACCCTGCCATCAGTATAATCCCCACACTCACTCTTTCCTCCTAATCCCGCATCACACTTTCTCCCACACTGCTAATCCCCAACCTTAAAATACATTGTACCAGAAAGAATAAATGTTAAATTCTAATAGAGCTCAGGGAAAGTTTGCCTCAAGTTTAATAGCTAATTGTACAACACTATGCACTAAGAAGCCTAAGGCTACAATCCTGTACCTGCTTATTGAAAGTAAGCCAAACTGAATTTAATGGAACTTACTTCTGAATAGGAAAGTATTGCATTTTCAACTTCACAGTTATCAGTATTGGAGTTAGATAAAATGTCGTTTAAAAGTCTTAAGGAGTGACAAAAAAAGAATCACCAAGCTACAGAAACAGATAGAAATATAGTAAGGCACTTCCGTGCAGAAGAAAAAGGACAGATTGCGAAGGATGCATCAGCCTTTGCAAGAGAGTTGATAATAACTTAAACCGTAAATTCAACCATATACTGTACAGAAGTGGACTCACTGTGTCCATTGGGGCTTACTCCCAGAAAAGGATTGCAGTCTTAGAATTCTTACAATATATAAAATCTATTGAATTTTTATTTAGTCTTTGAGGGTTAAATTATACTCTCCATGGAAAAGTATATAAGAAGCCCTGCCATCTGGAAGGTGTAATTTGGAGGGAGATACCAGCAGGAGACGGTTGATACATCCTTTCCCAACTGCCCACATGATTTGCATAATTAGCAAATACTTTGCATAGTATGCAAATTAGGCCACATTTGGGGAACTGAAATCTAGATCTTATCTAGACATCTTCATGGTGCATTAAAGGTTTGAATGTGTTCCTTCCACCCTTTTTTGTTGTGAGTTATTGGAGGTTTTATTTTAAAATCTTTCTCCTCCCACTCTCCAAATAGGATATGGTTGTACAAGCTCTGAGACAAACCAACAGCCGCAGTATAGAAGCAGCAATTGAATTCATAAGTAAAATGAGCTACCAAGATTCTCGGCGAGAACAGATGGCAGCGGCAGCAGCTAGACCTGTTAACGCTGGCACAAAACCACCAGGTAGGTGTAAAGATAAAAAAGGTAAAGTACCGCTGGATGGTTAAGTCCAGTCAAAGGCGACTATGGCGTGCGGCGCTCATCTCGCTTCCGGGTGAGGGAGCTGGCGTTTGTCCACAGACACCTTTCTGGGTCATGTGGCCAGAATGACTAAACCACTTCTAATATATGGCCTTGAAAACAAGATGTGAAACTGGCCACTTCCGCCGTGGTTGGAAATCTTATGGCAGAGGACAGAGAAATAAGCTTTGGAAGTTCAACATCCAAACAATAAAGACAAGACTTTTTAAAAAGTAGCATTTTCATTTATATATGCTACAAAATTTCATGTTCAGTGTTACACAATGTTACAACAAACTACTGCAGCTCAATTAATTTTGTGTATTCAGTTCATTTTGACATCGGGTTGGACGGAGATGGTGTTATTTAACTTTTGAAGTGGGTATTAAAGGCCTGTTGAAACGGGGGGGGGGGTGTCTTTTTGCTATTGCTTTCATTCTAACTCAGTACACCAGGAAGCCCCTGCACAAAGAAGGGAAGTAAGTTGAGAATGCTTCCTCATCTCATCTGGCTAGCTCCAGCCCCATTTCTCTCCCACCTTTGGGTTGGCATCTGGAAAACTGGGTATAGCCGGAGAAAGGCAATACATAGAGATCTGGACCAAGTTTTACAGCAATGGGTTACTTAACATATTATATTCAAATGTGCATAACTAAGCCTTTTTTTAAAAAAAAAAGAAAAACTGCCTCAGGAAAGGAGTGTAAGAGGGAGGGGTGCTTAGTCTATTCTCCACCTGCCATGTCTCTGCTGAAAATCAAATGCCTCCTTCCCCCAGAGACTTTCTTGTGGAGTTCCACAATTTTCTTTGTCCTATCATACTCAGAAATTAACCACAAAAGAGAGAAAAGCCTCTTGAGCATAAGAACAATTTGGTGCAAATAAATATCTGGATAGAAAAAATAGTGTCCTCCTGTTGCTGCTTTCCTTTGGGGGGGGGAAATCTGTTTGGGCTCAGTTACATGCAGTTGTTTGTAATATGTAGTTACACAAAATATCCAGAAGAAACACCTGTGATATTTCGGGTCCTCCCCACCCCAGTCAGGTCTCTTAATTCCTCAAATAAGAAATAAAACAAAGTAGGCAATACCCCCTAAAAAAATGGACAATGCCTCCCAACAAAACGACCAAGAGAGGGAAAATAAACTTAACTTTTAAAAATAAAAAATTGGTTGGGGAAAGCATGCCTGAGGGTATAAACTCTTTAGGATCTTCCAGTCTTTTTCTGTGCATAAATTTGAATTAGTTCATGCCCCTTATTCCTAGAAGTAAGTTCTTTTTAATTAATGTTTTTAAACTCAAATGAATCATTCATATTGTTTATTCAAAGTTATATTTGAAGTTTGCTTCTGTTTCCATGAAACATTACATTTATTAATGCTATGAAATTCCTGTTCTGAAATAACAGTGCACTGTGTAATAAAAAGCTTACTGTTGTTTTGTTTTTAAAACAAATAGGGGGAATGCAGCAGTCAGTCAACCGCAGGCAGAGCTGGAAAGGTTCTAAAGAATCCTTGGTGCCTCAGAGACATGGTCCTGCATTGGTAGATGGCCTGGCATTTCATTCCGAGAATCCCATTTCTCAGCCTGATGGAGGAAGACCCTTGTCTGGCTCTGGAATAACAGGATTTGCTCAGGCTCATCCTGGTAATGGACAAAGAGCAAATCCGCCACCTCCACCTCAAGTAAGGAGTGTAACCCCTCCTCCTCCACCTCCCAGGGGAACGACTCCACCTCCCAGAGGAACAACTCCACCTCCTCCTTCCTGGGAAACAAATTCTCAGACAAAACGGTATTCTGGTAGCATGGAATATATGATCTCTCGCATTTCTCCAGTGCCACCAGGGGCATGGCAAGATGGCTATCCTCCGCAACCTATAAATCCATCATCGATGAATCCTTCCACACAGGGACAAAGAGGTATTAGTTCTGTTCCTGTTGGCAGGCAACCAATAATCATGCAAAGTTCAGTTAACAATAAATTTAGTTTTTCATCTGGAAGGGCTGGAATGCAAAATGGCAATTGTCAGACTGATTATATTGTTCATCAAAATATTGTGCCTGGTAACTCAGCAAATCGTCAACCACCACCGCCTTACCCCATGTCTCCGGCAAGCCAGCAAAGCCCTACACCTTTGCAAATGCAAGCAGGAGGCTCTGCAGCCCCATCATATCCTAATGGGAACATTCCTCAGTCTATGATGGTTCCAAACAGAAACAGCCACAATATGGAGCTGTACAATATAAATGTTCCTGGAATCCCAACATCCTGGCCCCAATCGTCCTCTGGGCATGAAATTCCAACTTGGCAACCTAATATTCCAGTAAGGTCAAATTCCTTCAATAACCCTCTTGGAAGCAGACAAAGTCATGCTACCAATTCACAGACTTCTGCCACCACAGTAACTGCTGTTACTCCAGCTCCTATACAGCAGCCAGTAAAAAGTATGCGTGTACTGAAACCAGAGCTGCAAACTGCCTTAGCTCCTACTCACCCTTCTTGGATGTCACAACCAATGCAGGCTGTCCAACCCATCTCCTTTTCTGAGGGACCATGTACAAATATGGCAGTCCTGTCACCTGCGCCAGAGGCTCCAACATATCAAGGTCCACCACCACCTTATCCGAAGCATTTATTACACCCAAATCCACCTGTCACTCCTTACGATTCTGTTGCAAAGCCTGGCAAAGAGGATCAGCCCAGTTTCCCTAAAGAAGAAGAAAGTGAAAAGAATGAGCACAGCGAGGGAATGGATAGAGAAAAGAAGCAAATAACAACTTCGCCAGTCCCTGTTAGGAAAAACAAGAGAGATGAAGAAAGAAGGGAGTCCCGCATTCAGAGCTATTCTCCTCAGGCTTTTAAGTTCTTTATGGAGCAGCATGTCGAAAACATACTGAAATCTCACCAGCAGCGACTCCATCGTAAGAAACAACTGGAAAATGAAATGATGCGGGTAAAGCCTTTTAATTATTTAATTCCTATTTCTGTGTTGCTTCTGTGTGGAATGTTTTTCAAGCCTTATTTTCAAGCCTTATATCATTGTGTCAAATCTCTGAGGTGCACTAGGCTGACCTTCAGTGATTTACTCATTGCCAAACACTCTGAATCTGAGATCTTTTATACCCAAATGCCAGGAGCAGCTGGTGTAATGGGTTAGAACTGTGGAGCCATCTTCCTGGCAGCACCATTGCTGCAGCATACCAGGGCAGTGTTTAGGTGGAGCATCAGCGAGGTTGGGGCTCCATGAATGCACCAATGGGAGTACCAGATCGACTTTTTGACACTCCACTCCAATGATGGCCAGGTAAGCTGCAGCAGTGTTGGTGTCTGAAGGACATGTCTATGGCTCTAGCGTACCACATCGGCCGTTACTGTTAGATGCAATACTATCATTTGCCACAGCCCCCCAAAATTCATACTTAGATAATTTGTTGAATCTGAGTTGCTTCCCTTATATGTATTATATCATGCAACAGTATGAAGGTAGATGTGTTGGGTATTTGTGTCTAGGAAGAAAAGTTATAAAAAATTGTTTCTGAAGTAATGTTGCATGAGCAAAATATACTTAAGCTCCTGCAAGGAGCTGTTTCAGGTTTTTTGGTCATTTCTATAGCAGGCGTTTGTGACATATGCTACTAACTTACCTCTTCCATGTGCACAGTTGATGATAGTCTAGCTCTGTAGGAATGTAGCATTTGTTATAGTTCTACATTTACTCTCTTTTGAAAACTATAAATAAATAATTAAATATTATACCTAGCAGATAAATGGCTTTGATCCTGAGTTGCTGTTTGACTACCAGAAATGACTCTGAGCCTAAGATCTAAGCCTGTATCTGTACAATCTCAAATTCAGTTCCAGAATATATTTGCAGAATTTATACTTTCACCTTCAATTCAAGTCCCAGGGCAGCGTTTCCAGGATACTGCTTTGTCCTATGGATTCTTGTTGTTCACTCTGTTCTCTCTTTAATGTAGTAGTGGTAGAATTCAGCCTCAGACCACAGGTGTTGTTACATATCTCTTAAACTTAAAGATCCTAATGCAGGCTTCCTCAACCTCGGCCCTCCAGATATTTTTTGGCCTACAACTCCCATGATCCCTAGCTAGCAGGACCAGTTGTCCGGGATGATGGGAATTGTAGTCTCAAAACATCTGGAGGGCTGAGGTTGAGGAAGCCTGTCCTAATGGAAGGAATCTCATTTGCAGGGGGGAAACCCTGAAAAACCAAAAGCTCCTCTAACAATCAGCAATAATGCTGCTCTAATCAGGGTATCAGGCTGGAATCACAGGAGAGCTTGAAGTTCTCTAGCCATTGTCTATACCTTTGTAGGAAAGGCCTACCTTACTTTTTGAAAGCAGGGTTCTTGGTCAAAAAAAGAACCTATCTCCTTATGTCTGCTGAAGCCAAGTTGGTGCATTCAAGAAACTATAAAAGGAATGCATGCAATCAGGAAGCACTGGAAAATGGGTAGAAACAAGTGATCTAAAAATGCAGTATGCCGACTTTCAACTTTATTGCTCAGAAGAGAAACAAATTGTTGATGCCATGAGAGTTGGGAATGGGGAAGTCGGAAACTTATTTATATGTGGCCAACCAAGGATATACACAAGTGTAGTCAGAAGCAGACAGCTTCCCTAGGAATGTGCCAAAGAGATTAAGTATTATTTTCTCCAAACTCTAGCAACACTGATTCTGCTAGGGCCATTACTTCTAAATCTGAGCTTTGCAGCTATTTTTTGTGGCAGACATGAGCCTAGAAGTAAGTGACTCAGTAGACTGAGAGATTTAATAAATCCTGTGATGAATACAGGCTAACAAGATATAAGGGTTTTCCTTAATCTTGCTAATTTTATGTTAAGCTATTTGATGGAATGTAAAAGGCCTCTTTGAAAGAAAACAACTGTATACCCTCCAAAATTATGTGACGTAGGAAGGAACTGTTTTAATCAGTTGTGAGTTCTTTTGATTTGTTACAGACAGATACATTTTGACAAAGCAGTGGAATTGCCTTTATTACCTGTGTTAAAAATAAGCATTGGAATTTCAGCTGCATGTTATTAATTTCTAGTTTACACTTTCCCTGGAATCAAGGGTGAACCACCTTTCTCCGCTTCTGTGACATTCTTTAGAAGTGCAGTTTTGTTTTCAAAAAATATCCCTGTTAAATTGTATCTTTATGTAATAGTAAGCTAACTGATGTGTAAATCAAATTCCACTTCTTGCTTTTTCTACATGTTCATTCTTAGTCTCTTTCCTTTTCACTTTCACTAACAGCTGATTTAACTATTAAGGTGTTGGAACCTTTCCTGACATCTCTACCCTTCGTTACTGGGTAGGCAAGTAATATTTTGGAGACAAGTGTTGCATTTACAGAATAGCATGGACTCTTTCTTAGGGACCCTGCATGCTTATTTGCATTTGAATTAAGCATGTATTCTTTCACTGTACTTGAATGTATTTATATCAGATTACTAATCTTCCTTTTCCTGTTTTATAAAATTATTTATGGACTGCAGTAGCACAGGGATAATGATACAATTATACTTTTGTATTTTACTTAATTCTGTATACTTAAAAGTGGCTGGTTTATTTAGTACTTTCATTACTTATTTTGCCAGACACTTATTTGTATAACTTTCCACCCTCCTTTTCTTTAAAGATTGTGTTCAACACAATTATAAATTGAGTCCTTTAACAGTGAAGGGTGGAAAGTCACATGGGAAGAAATAGTGCAGTTTCTTTAGTAATATTTGAATCCTGACGGGAGAATACTACTTTGCTTGTCATGTAAACAGAAGAAATGTGAATGAGATCTAGCTTTAGCTGACTATTAAGAACATTTCTATGAAGGAAAGTAGTCAAAACCACCCTGTCCCCCAAACTCTTAGCAGTAACAGAATGTTGTGTTCAGCTTGCCTATTTTCATCAGTCAAGACCCTCATCAAACCAATTGTCCTTAAATCCTGAGCCTCACTGTGCATGGCTCTTAGTGTATGGCTTTGTTATAATCACTCCTTTTAACCATTCCTGAAAACTACATTTTGTGTCATATTTGTTCTGAAGTGTTTTCATTGACTCCTAACATATTGCAATACAGAAATTAAAACAATAAAAATGGAGGCATTATTTTCTATTTAAGGACTGGTGCTTTGCTTGTCCTAAACCTGAGTTTGTAGACATTTTCCATGAGCAATTCTTCATTTTTTTTACTTGTCAAATTTCATATTTGTTGCATAGGTTGGGTTATCCCAAGAAGCCCAGGATCAAATGAGGAAAATGTTATGCCAAAAGGAATCTAACTACATCCGTCTGAAACGGGCAAAAATGGATAAATCAATGTTTGTTAAGATTAAGACCCTTGGAATTGGGGCATTTGGAGAGGTGTGCTTAGCAAGAAAGGTGGATACAAATGCCTTATATGCAACAAAAACTCTACGTAAAAAGGATGTGTTACTTCGGAATCAGGTTGCTCATGTTAAAGCTGAACGGGATATCCTTGCAGAAGCTGATAATGAGTGGGTAGTTCGTTTGTACTATTCATTCCAAGATAAAGACAATTTATACTTCGTTATGGACTATATTCCAGGAGGAGATATGATGAGTCTGTTAATTCGAATGGGGGTCTTCCCAGAAAATATGGCCCGGTTCTACATAGCAGAACTGATCTGCGCAGTTGAAAGTGTCCATAAGATGGGATTCATTCATAGGGATATAAAACCAGATAATATTCTGATTGATCGTGATGGCCACATCAAATTGACTGACTTTGGGCTTTGTACTGGCTTTCGGTGGACACATGATTCCAAATACTACCAGAGTGGTAAGAGAAATGTTTGCAATAATAGCATTTTGTTACTGCATATTAGCATATATAGTAGCAGCGTTTATCTGTATTTACTAGCAGGTTTTCCACATTGCTGCCTGATTGAGCACCATAACATTTTGTGAAGTCATTATCAAAGCAGAGATAGTCTCAATCACCCATTATATAATATTAGATGTCTTTTGTAAACTTGTCCCACTTCAAAAAATATTAATGACTATTGTGAAATGACATCATTTAAAATACATATACAGCAAAGATGAGCAAGATTTTGCTTCCCAGTCACCCCCTTCGCAATTGCTTCTTTTGGTTTGCAAAATGTTTTCTATTGCAGGTGACCACCCACGTCAGGACAGCATGGATTTCAGTAATGAATGGGGAGATCCAGCAAGCTGTAGATGTGGAGACAGGTTGAAGCCACTCGAACGTAGAGCAGCACGTCAGCACCAGCGCTGTCTGGCACACTCATTAGTTGGGACACCAAATTATATTGCACCAGAAGTATTGCTGCGGACAGGTAAATGTTTCCTGTTGTTCCTTGGCAAAGTAATTTGGTGCTAGTTTCTGAAAATGATTACCCAAAAACGCAAACTGGTATAATAAGGAAGCACCGCTATAATACAGGACTGTATACAGTGATACAAATGACAATTTATGCTGCTATATTTTGTAACACAACATAGTGTATCAATGTGAAGAACTCTTCATCCTAATAGGGGAAGATCACAGTTATCCAACATTGTATAGATTCCTCTGCTTGTGGTAAAGTACACCTGGATAGAAAAAGCACCTATTTTTAAGGTAGCTTCTCATTTCACCTACAAATGCAAACATGAACAATGAAGGTTTTCCCCTGTTTGGTGAGCCTACCATTTTTTCAAAATGTTTTTATCATACAGGTAACATTGTAATACGACTGTGCTGTGACACTTTATGATCTTAAATTTTGTATTATTGTGCTACGTGTGATAGAGCTCCTGACTTTTAACAGTCCTGCTACATAATAATTAGATTAGACTTCTGTTTGTATGCTGCCTTTCGACAAAACAAATTATGTTCAATAACATTTCAGCAATAATTTATATAAGCATTGAATATAGCAACATTTCTGAAATTGAATCAAGCCAAACTGCATACACATTAAAGTGCCACATGCAAAAGCATCACTAACCATCAGCCCATTTTTAAGACCTGAAAATAAAGTTACATGCAGTAGAAAATTGAAAAACATGATGGGGAAAAAAGAAATGAAAAAAAATAGCTGGTGTATTCTCAAATTAAATCTAGAATTGTTATTGAAATATTGAATTACTGAGTTTTCTTTTGTTTCAGGATATACACAGCTGTGTGACTGGTGGAGTGTTGGGGTGATTCTCTTTGAAATGCTTGTTGGACAACCTCCCTTCCTGGCACAAACACCATTGGAAACCCAGATGAAGGTATCTGAGGAAAATCCACTTTCGAATGTGTTTCAGAAGTGTTTCTTCACTTGTTGGTGAGGTTAGGTGTTTTATTACTGAAACAGTCTTCTAATTTTGTTGCACTTGTTTGTGTTTTTAATCTAAAGGTTATCAATTGGAAAACATCACTGCACATTCCACTGCAAGCAAAACTAACGCCAGAGGCATCTGACCTTATTATTAAGCTCTGCCGTGGGCCAGAAGACCGCTTAGGCAAGAATGGGGCAGATGAAATAAAAGCACATCCGTTTTTTAAATCTATTGATTTTTCAAGTGATCTGCGGCAGCAACCTGCTTCCTACATCCCTAAAATTACGCATCCCACAGACACATCAAATTTTGATCCAATTGACCCAGATAAATTATGGAGTGAGGATAAGGAAGGGAATGTAAATGACACACTTAATGGGTGGTATAAAAATGGCAAACATCCTGAACATGCTTTTTATGAATTTACATTTCGAAGGTTTTTTGATGACAATGGTTACCCTTACAGCTATCCCAAGCCTATTGAATATGAATACAGTAATTGTCATAGATTGGAGTCAGAATCAGATGAAGATGAGGAGAGGACCAGAAGAGAGGCCCAAAATCATGATCTAGTTTATATTTAGTGGAGGACTTAAACCATTCTTTGGGATTTCCAAGATGTATACTACAAGAGAACCTGAAAAACAATTGGAAAGCTGGTTTTCTGCGCACTTGGGGTGGAGAAAAAGGATGCATGATCATTGTTGATCTAGTGGTTTTTCCTGTCTTTCTTTTCTCCCTATCAACACAGAAGTCCTTTTTCAAGCATTCATTTTTTCCAGCATTGTTAAAGAGGAATATAGGAAACAGTAATGTTAGGAAAAATAAATTGTAAAATAAATAGTTACACCTTTGTAAAGTATTCAGATTAGGAAATTGTAATTTCTTTAGGAAATTAGATACTTGTCTATTTGTATATAGACCACATACATTTATTTTCCTCCCATAATTTTTCATTTTTTTAAATTGCCTTAGCTTGACCAAATATCATTAATACCATGTACTTACTAAACTGATAGTTGTTTTTCCTGACTATTTATCAAATTCTCACTCTAGATGAGACTGCAGAGAGTAAACTAGTAGGAATTTTCTGGCACTCTGTGGGGGTTGTGGGTTTGGAACAAAGAAGCGTAGGATTATAATCCGAAACCCATTTAGAAGTAAACTGTTGAGAATGTAGTGGGACTGACTTCTGAGTAAACATGCATAGGAATGTTTGTGTTTCTTCTGACAATAAATAATGATGTCCACATATTAGTAATTATTTTAATTTTGCTTGATTGTTTTGTGAAGCATTACTGGCTTTGTGGTGCCATAACATAAAATTGAGGCAGAGGGGGCATGTGTGTAGAGTGATACTGGCCTATCACAAAATGTCTTTGCTGGTTGATCTCATCCTGCATTAGAAAAGACTGAAAACACTTGAGTTCCGGTGACACATACTTACTATGAATTCTTATCCTATCCCTGTAAGAAACGCCATAACCAGGTTCCCTGCATTTCCATTATTACTGTCCTTGTGCTGTATCATTTCAAACCAAAGGGCTTGTTTTGAAACAGGTGGTTCAGTTCCTTACTCCCAGATTCATTAACTAATTTGAACTGAACTAGTAATCCTGCTTACTGGGGATTAGGTATAATTTTATCTCTGCAGTAGACTGCTTCTGGGATACCTTTGAAGTTGCAGCCTCTTGTTTCATCATTCCAAGAATAACATACTAAGTCCTGGTTTCCATGGTAAATGTTGAAGATATTTCTTGCTTCCTGCATAGAGGGCACATGCTGCTGTTGCAGGTAACTGTTGTACCTGCAAAATCTGTTTGTACCTCAGTGATTGTAGAAGGTAAATAGTTCTTCATCCCAGAGCCAGCTACTTTAAACTAAAGGAAAAACGGCAGATCATACAATTTTGCTTGCTTTTTTAGAAATCAGTTCCCCCCTGCACAGATTATTCTAAACATCCTGTTCTCTAACACAGAGATGCACAAATAGTTACCCTTTCAAACCCATATTAGCAGATTCAACACCCTGAAGTTCCTATCATACAACTACTTAAGAATATGTATATATCTCTCTGGTTGTGAAAAATAATGTGATGTGCTCTGAAGAATCTCCTTCCCTGACTAGTGCTTATTCTTTTGCAATGAGTTAATTTATTATTTATTATGATTCTTTGCTTTTCCTCTGATAATGACATAAATGGCTCATAAGAATCTTCTAGATAATCTTGTGCCTATATAGTTTAACATGGTCAGGGCTGCTTATTTTCAGCATTAGAACCAGATCTTGTGCCTTTAGACCATTCTCTGGCCTGCTTACCTCTTGAGCAATAGGCATGTTTCATATTTTTCTATTAAAAACAGTAATATTCATTGAGTATAGGCTACTGCAAAATGCATATAGATATCTGTCTTCAAGAAAACCAATTGCTCCAGCACCTTTATCATTTAACATTCTGATTTACAGTTTACCTTGTGTGGGTCCTACATATGATGGGTATAAAAAACCAATTCATGCACCCTCCCTTAGCTGGTATAAAGCTTTTAGTCTTAACTAGAGAATCTTGTGAAAGTTCTGTGGGTGGCCAGATAGTCTTGTCTTGCTCCCCTACACTACAAAACATAAATTCTGTGTTTGGAGCTGAAGTGTGAATCAGACCTTGGAATGTCTAACTTTAGCATTATATAGGATGCAGTGTACAGTTATTCTAACTTTTGAGATGTGTTTTTTGTAAAAATAAAAAAGTCCTATTTTAAAGAGGATTTTGAAGGTTGTCCCTTGTTTATTATTGATAGGAGTTCCAGTTAAACTGGCAAGTTGTTGTTTTTTGTCCTGCAATAAAATATAATATATTCCTGGCTAAAGCCAGATAAATTTAAACTGCTATCTACAGCTAAGTACACATGTGAACTTGCTTTCTCAGTTTCAAAACAGAATGTTCATCATCTAAACTCATAGAGAAAACAGAGAGATCTTATGTATCCCGAGTTCTCAAGTCCAGGAGATGGCCTGTTTTGGAAGAGGTTACCCTGTCCTAGGAGCAGCAGGTCCATAGCTTAGGGGTTCTGGATTCAACTGAAGTTTCAGGTAGCCTTAGTGGCTATGAGTGCCTTTTTCCAGCTATGCACCATTTTGAAAATAAATGATTTGGTCACTGTATTCCAGACCCTGGAAACTTCCCAGTTGGATCATTGCAATGCACTCTCCATTGGTCTGCCCTTAAAGATTACTTAGAAAGCTCAATTGATCAGAATTACAGGCTAGGATTCCATTTTCAATCATATAATCCCTTTTCTTAAACAGCTGCATTGGTTGTCCATTTCTGGGCCCAGTTTAAGGTGTTCATGTTAGTGTTTAAAGTCAATGGTGCTTCCGTCACGGTGTTCCGTTGCACCAGAAGTGGTTTAGTCCTGCTGGCCACATGACCCGGAAAGCTGTCTGTGGACAAACACTAGCTCCCTTGGCCTGAAGCGAGATGAGAGCCGCACCCCATAGTTGCCTTTCACTGGACTTAACCATCCAGGGGTCCTTTACTGTTTACCTTTAAAGCCCTAAACTACTTAGGCCTCATATGCCTGAAGGATCATCTCCTTCCCTGCAGACCCTCAGGTGTTAAGATCGGCAGAGGAGGCCTCTCTTCATAGTTTTGTTGCCTCCAAGAACTTTGGGCGAGGCTTAGAGAGGGGATTCTTTGTGGCAGCCTCTAAACTGGAACTCGCACCGCACTACAAAGTTTTCAGAGAATGCTGAAGATATACCTCTTTATCCAGGCCTTTGATACTTGAGATGTATATTTGTAGAACCTACCCTACTTTTGTGATTAAAAGGTTTATAACAAACTACAAAGTTATGTTCTAAATTGTTGTGACCCACCCTGAGACCTTAGATTGAAGGGCGAGTGATAAATAAAAATTATAGGTGCACAAATAAGGCCTGTTAAGTTTTCTAAATTTTGCCCATTACTGTTTTCAGCTAAGGAGTGATGATGTAACATTCACAAATGTAGACCCCAAAGTAATTATTTTAATTAAGCTTGTTAATATTTATATGCAGAGAAATTATGAATGTGATGTGTGACTCTGCATTTTGGAACATTTTAAAAATAATATTCTGCCTCATTTGTTCCCTACTGTCCATCCAAAACATTCCAACAAATGCTACTTTTTCTTGGGGAAGGAGTGCTAAATTAGGATAACTGGTGTTTGTGAGAGTCCTCATATAAACAGAATGTCATGCTTTCCCACTCTTTGTGACTTATAGTCTTGGTGGACCTATTCTTTATCAGTAGTCAGACTGGATTTATTGTAGCATCAGTTTTTATTAGCAATGTACTTCATCAGTTTGTGTGTCTTTATTGCCAAGTTGTGCCCTTGGAAAAACAGAAGATATGCTCATAAGCAATTGTGATGTTATAGTTGCCTTGTGTCCATGTGTAGATTTTCTCATTCCTTTTTCAAAGTAGTCTCTGGTGTGAATTTTGAATATTTTATAGACTGCACAATTTACATTTTTCTTCATGGAAGAAATTCTATTTTTTTAGTTTTGTAGTATTTTCAACAAAAAAGTTTGTGACGGGACCGAACAAAAGAGAGAAAACATAAACTTGTTCCACACTTGGTTTCTAAATAAACTTTTCAGTTAAAACGTTAAAAATGTCATTGCTTTGCTTTTCCACATACACATATGACCTGTATTTATATAAAATGTTCTATAATCATGTAATTGTATTGTAAATACTGTTGTACTATTTGCTTACATTCTTTCCTTGGGCTGATTCTTTTCTACCTTATTCGTAACCAACCCTGCAGAATGTTTGACTAAAACTTTTCTCTCTTTTTTGGAGACTTAAAAAAAAATCTGTTGTTGCAGTGTGCAAAGCTGTGATAGAGAACCAGTTTTTTGGGGATTTTGTTGATATTGTACGTCTGCTAAAGAATGCAGTGTGAGTGGGTTCATAGATGCTGCTGCTGTTACCCAAAGTACCTGTTAATTTTTGGCTGCAGATCTCTGGTATTTTAAACAAGACATTAGTATTTCCTGTAATGCAGCCAAAGGAAAGCAATGGTATATTTGGGTAAACATCTGATAGTAAAACTTTAAAATGCCTTAATATACCCCCCAGTGAAAGGCACTATTCAAGTTTACTTTTATATTGCATTTTGTATATATGCCTTTTGTATTGTAAACACAGCTGGTAAACATTACACTTTTATTAAGAAAATTCTGTAGTGTGAGAGAAGTGCCTTGACGGACAGTGTAACAATCATCTTTACATATTTCTGCATGTAATACTTGGTAATCCATTAAATTCCTTGAGTGTCTTATGGATCTCTTTCCACTTTTTAAATCAGTTTTCTCTAATGTACCATTTGCTGAGGTAATAAAATTTAAATTCAATGAATAAGCTGCTAATCAAATATAATTTTATACTGATGAAAAGTGTTGGTTTGGTCTTCCTCCTCTTTGTTGAATGGAGATATTGAAATCCTGGTCATTCAAATGTTATGCTGCATTTGCTTATACTGGCCATGATTACCTGGCTCAAAGAGCAATCCAAATCCTTAACAGGGAGCAACAGACAGATGGATCAATCTATCAGCTCATCCAAAACTCTGCCACATGGGTGAAGGGTGGTTTTCATACATTTTCCCTTGCACTAGTGTTAGGCTTGTATAGCTGTCAGGGACCTATGGGTTTTTGGATCTCGGAGCTCCAAGGCCTCTAATGTCCTGGGGTTGTGTTTTTTTTGGGGGGGGGGCTTCTCTGGGTATCAGCAGCAGTATCTTCACACCTGCCCTCACAGAACTTGGAGCCACTGGTACCATGCACCCGCACCAGTGGTGCTCTTCATCAGCTGATAGGCCTGCATACCATCCCATTACCATCTGACATGAGCATCCAGGGGTTAAGATTTTGCCCCCAGTTGTTATTTACTGTATTTCTAAAGCTGCCCTCATGCCATGGGATCCCAGGACAGTGTACAAATAGAGTATAAATCTTACCATGTAATGGAAACCCCCCCCCCATAAATATAGGTATTTTGAAAACCACAGTTCATAAGACTGGTAACTTCTTCCCAACTTAGGTACAAATCTAAGACCCTATCCTATTGGTCTTTATTCTAAAGTAACATGAAGTAGCATTCCAAAGTACAAGTATAATAAAATATAAAATCAAACCTAAAAAAAAAAATACACAGCACACTATGCTGCTTTTCTATACACACCTGAAAGTAAGCCCAGTTTAACTCTGTGAGGTCTACCTATTGGTAGATGCTCTGGACTGTTGCATTGCTATGATACTGCAGTTTGTGAAATGTATGAGGCTCTGTGAAATGCTATGAGTGTAGCATGATCCTACTGCTGCCAGTAAGGTAAGGTAAAAAGGTCTTTCCTTGGCTTTGCTATGCCACTAAGCCAAAGAAGGAATCTACCCTCCACACGTCACCTCCCATCAGGCAGCAGAGCCAATGATCAAGGATAATGGAAGATACCAACCAAAACATCTGGAGGACCCCTTCTCAAAATCATATAGCCTTTAATTTCAGGAAAACGGAGGGCAACACCAAACCTGATGCCTCAACGCCTTCCACATGTGCTGAGTCAGAAATATTTTGGGCAGCAGGTTGCAGGACAGCCTCAAAGATGCACTCTCCCAAGCCCACATTCCCTGCATGTTCGCACTCCTGTTTCGGTGACGTCTGTGCTGACTTGGTTATATTCACGAAATGGAAGATGGCAGGATCCCCCCAGAGTCATAGTTACAGGCACCAACCAACCTGTTGGTAGACCAACTCTGCCTTACAAAGACGTCTGCAAACATGACATGGCAACATCAACCTGCCCTGTGGGAGTCCCTTGCAGGTGACTGCAGTGCCTGAAGGCAGGCAGGCAGGTCCAGTAGGCTAGTTTGTACACACTCAGCCCGCTCTGTATCCTGCATTCAGACGTGCAAGAAGCCTTGTCAGAGATAAAGGGCACATTCCAAGCAGGCAAGAAGGCGCGGGGCCAGCGAGGGGTGAAGCGGCAGGATGAGGCTGTGGCTGGGAAAGACTTCCGAGAAGGCACCTCGGCCTAGGGATCCCCGTCCCTGACATGAAGAGTTCAGGGACCACCAGCCCCCCTTCCCAAAGAGAGCGAGAAACGAAAAGCCGGCCGTATCCTTCTACCTCGAGAAGCCAAACAATGTGGCGGGTAGAGGCGGGGAAAGAAAGTAAAAAAGAAAAAGCGGGAAGAAGAGCCCGCCCAGCAGTGACGCCGCGAGTTCTGACTGGAGGAGAGAATATAAATGAACGAAGGGGGAAAGAATCCCACGCCACTCAGAGTCCCGAGAAAAAAAGAACCGCCCGGTGGGCGGGGCGTAGGGACGTTAGGACGCCGTGGGGCGGGACAAGAGCTGGCGCCTGCGCGCTAGCGACAGTGCCTCTGCGCCGAGTGGGCGGGAGGCGGCGCTGAGATGAGTCGGGCCCTATTGCCACCGCCGCGGTCGCCGCCGTTACGGAGCTGAGCGCGCCGAAGAGGTGAGTGAGCGTCCGCTTCCTCCTTCCGCCAGCCTCGCTTTCCCCGTCCGTTGAGCCCGGAGCGCCCCCTCCCTCGCCGTCCGCCTCCTTCGGCGTCTTCTCTGGGCGGCTTCTGCCCCCCCCATAGCACCCGGAGTGGGATGTCGCCCCCCGAGCAGCGTTGGCGGGAGGGCTTTGAATGGGCTTTGCTGGTCAGCCTCTCCTCGTCCAGGAGGCCCGAAAAGAGGCTCGAGGGGAGGCGCC